AGTACTGTAGAATGTGTGTTCACAGATTGGAATTCACTTAGATTTTTACAGTTATTACTTACTTACTTATTACTTATTAGATTACCTACAAGTCAGATCATATTTACTTAGAGCTTGTTTTTCTTCTTCAAAATAAAGGCACTCAGGGCTCGTACTATGTACACTAAAATGGAGGAAGACATGCTAATGTCTGAACAGCGGCAAGTAGATATCCTCCAATAATTTGAGTACTGACTGTATTCCACACACATAAGGAAGGAAGGACAAAAGAAAGAAATGATGGAATAAAAGGCAAAAGAGCGTATGAAATAGTGAACAGTACTTCACTGAGGTCAGTCAAGGCAAGTCAAAGCTATGCTTCATGATTTAAAACTTTAAGATGCTCTGGCAGCTTAAAATTTTCCCTGTCGCTTTTTTTTGTTTTTGTTCTGCTGGAGAGAAAATCATAAAGAAAACGTAACTGTGGTGAGGTATGTTCAAAAATGGGACTGGATTTTTTCCACTGCTGTTGTGGTCTTTGGCATTCTTTCATCATGGGCAAGACCCACACTGGCCTTTCTCTTAAATATGTGTGTTGGCATATTTCTGTAGATATAGGTCCCAGGCAGCAAATGCACTATTTCTCAAGCTGTGGATTGGGACTCAGATGGGATGGGGAACAAAACTGATTTTGCATCTTTTATGACTGGTTCCATAAATTACCTGACTATTCCTTGTTGCATCTTGACTTGATTTAGCTGCTTATCCACTGACAATGGAAGCAAAAAGCAATTGACTCAACTTATAATAGGATAGATCTAAGGCTAATCTCTAGGGTACTTTTTAAGGCAGTCTTGGAATTAGCTACTTGTCCTGATTCTTCTACATGAAGACTTGCTTTTTATGCCACATTATGGCACCATATACAGATGGGTTGGCAGTAGAAGTCACCTCTGTACAAAATAGTTGTAAAGTAGTTTACCAGCCATCTATGGTACCTTTTTAAATGAGTGATTTTAATTTTGAGATCCATCAGGAAAAAGCTCAGCAAACATTATGCTGCAAATAAGAGCAGGACATAATTTCATTCACTTGTGCACCAATTAAACTCTAGTTCCTCCTATGTACCTGCCAGCACCTCTTATATATCTCTTACATTTCTTTGTGAAACAAAATGCTAGCCTTTAGTCTAAAGGAGAAAAATGTGAAAGTTGCAGCATTCCTATGTCCAGCTGTGCTTTCCTTGATCGCTTGGAAAGACAGTCATGGTTGCAATGCAGCATTCTTTTTCCTGGACTGCAGAGGAATTGTTTGTTGAAAATATAGTGTCCAATCTGTCACTGTTGGGCATTTCAAGAGAAATTTAGTGCGAGGGATTAAAGTTTAAAACGTTATTGCAGCTATCAGTTCTGTAACAGACAGGACAGAAGATTAAAAGACATAAAATTACTAATCAAGGCAGTTGCCAGTGATATAACACTTACATAAAATGATAAGTAGTTTACAAATAAAATAGTAAATGTGGATCTTGCTCATTAGTTGCATGGATCCACTTATTATGTGTTTTTCTTTTTATGGGAATGTATTTTTCCCTCCAGTACACATCTCCAAAGTACAGCTGCTGTTACTCCCTTGCAGACTGGGGGCAGGAAGAAATAGACGATGTTGAGAATGAAAGGAAGAAAGAAAAATGGTTGTGGGAATATTGTGCATTTGTATCAGAGATGATGGATAGTATCCCTAGATCTTTGTACTGCATCTCCTTGAAGTAAGATGTTTTTTGCCTACCCTTTGCCCTTTTATTCATGAAGTTTACATTACCTGGATAGAGCTTGACCAGTGGGGTGCTTTTTGTGTTTATTTGATCATGAATAACCTCTTATGCCTCTTCTAGTTTTTCTGTAAGGAAGTGTCAAGTTCATTTTAATGTCAAATTCTCCACATAACATAAGCTCCTGCTTTTAAGGATTAATAAACGTTTGTGTGATCTCCCCATTGAGTTAAATGTGTACGCTGCAAAAAAGCCCCCCCCCCTCCAACCCCCAGCATGAATTCAGTTGAGTAAATACTGGCTTAATAGACTCACTATCAGATAATTGCCTGCCTAACCGGACTAAGAGGATTTTTTTAAGGTAATAATTTTTCGTCTTGTAGAAACTGCTCTTTTTATTCTACTTTTCATACCAGAGAAGCTAGTCAGACAGTAACACAATAGCTTTACTGAGAATAATGGGGCTATAATTTAGTTTATCTGCTGACCTTAATATTTGAGCAGCTGCTTTGAGCAGTGGTTGCTGAGAGGAGGGGGCTGGTCATTCTTCCTGAGCCTACCCTACTCATTCCTCCTGGTTGATACATTCTGGGGCCATTGCACAGGCATGTGGATTAACCAGTGAGCCTCAAAGGGAGCAGGTGCTGCTGGGCTTGTTGGTTTGAGGCTTCATTGGTACATGCAGATGAGATTGCCACATAAACAGTTGCCACCAGGTGGGGTTGGGAAGGTATGGCGGTAAGGCCTTGGGTGTGATGTTTGGGATTACCTGTTTACCAACTGAAGTTTACTTGTTTCCTCAGTCCTGCAGGAAAATTCAGCTGCCAGTCTGAATGGTTTCTCTAATGGAATTGGAGTAGGTGTGGGAGGATCTTATTGTAGCGTCAATAGAGACAGTAGTGCCGATTTATTCCTTCTTGCTGCTCTTGGTTTTTCAAGAATCTGCAACTGCAAATACTGCATTTAGAGTTGCAAAAGGAGTTACATGTTTTAGATTTGAAATGGTCCTTTCCTGCCTCTTAGGCTATCATTGTATACAGTCATAAAACTGACAGGTTCTACTTTGTAATCATATAGTTTATAAACAAATGTTTTGAAAAGTTCACACAAAGCTAATGCCATAGCTGTTGAACTGGAGCCTAAACTGTTTCCAGTTTAAGTGTCTGGCTGTTGGGACAATAAATTGTGGGCAGACTAGTTTGCTAGATAATAATGTGAAGTGACTTTAAATTACTGCTGATTGCCAAGTCCCTATTGATCCCTATACTTACCATATTTCTGTGGAAACCTAGGAGCTTTGCAAGCTAGACGATTCCCAGAAATCAGCAGATTGACTAAGAGAGAATTATTAAGGACCAAGCTGCAATAACAACAGCTCTTAAAGGTCTTGTAGATTCAAGAATTATGTACTTGAATTGGTGCTAGAGAAATATAATGAGCATAGGGATCAATATGAGCATATCAATTAGCAAAAATCAGCAATAAATAAAAGTAAATAGCTTTACTCTAATGTACTTTATTATTACTGTGTTACGCTTCTGGTTGCTGGCCACCTAATAAAAATTAAAATAAGAAAATATATTGTTTCTAGACCTACAAAATAAATACATAATCCATTAAAATTTTCAGTTGCAGGTTTTTCTATGAAGTTGGTGTAGTGGTGTAGCTGTAGCAAAAATAATGTTCCATCATGAAGGGAATGGATTGGTTTTTATGTACCTGTTACAGTTTATTTGACAAACCGACTATAACTGAATACCAGTTTGGCTAATGATAATATCCAACATATTAATACACCTAAAGTGCAGCAGATAGAAAGCATTTAACTTGAATTTGATTGTAGTCTGTCTTCAAAAGCATATCATTAACTTTTCTTCATTCAGCCTTGATGTGCTGGCAGGGATACATGTGTATACAGTTCTGTGTTGTCATCATATTGGACAGTATGTTTGACAGGAAACCTCCATTAGTGAATGGTATCTGTCCCACACCAAGTGCTATGCACACCGAGGAGGTCGTCATATGGAGAGGTGATAATTGTAAAGAAGGTGGTCTCCTACCTTATACCTCAGTTGACAGGCATATCTTTCAAAGGTAAGGGAATAGAGGCTGGGGCAAGGGAAGGGTTATTTTCTCTTGTCTAGTTATCGTTCTGACATATTAAGTCATGGTTAGGTGTGGTGAGAGACTGGATCCATTTTGAGTTGAGTACTGTTGCTTCATGTTGGGACCAACCAAAATTGGACTCCGGTTGTACCACTGTCGCTCGTTACCCTTCCTTCCAAGAGACTCCTGTTCTCTTCTGCCTTCTCCATGCTAAGGCTTTTTTAACTAAAAGAGCTGATGGTGGAGGACTAGCACAGAGATCGTGTGAGTGAAGCAAAAACTGGCTTCTCTGAAGTTTTCAAATGCTAGGAAGAAAACCTGGTGCCTTATGCATTCAGCTAGGACACTTGGAAAGCCTAATCAAGAACCAAAGAACCCACACATCCCTGTTTATATTCTCTGTAGTTTGGAAAGAATGGCACCGCTTTTTATTTTTCAGCTTCTGATTCTAGTATCCAAAAGAATTAAGTGAACTGATAGCTTAATGTGGGGGTAGAACTATACTTTAGGGACAAACATGCAGTTTTTCTTCCTGTAGTTATATAATATTTTGGCCTTTCTCCATTCACGTAACACCTTTCCACAGTAGATACTCCAAGACATGTTTGCTGAGCAAAAGTGGCTGGTAGAAAAGAAATTGAAGCATTTAACTCCTTGGCCCCGAGTATATTCTCTGCCATTTATGCATGGTATGTTAACTATTTATGTAGGCTAGTGGCAAATAAGAGAATAACTTGTTTGCAATTGAAGTGGAGTTGCATTGCAAATACAGGAGATTGGAGGGACGTCTTGAGAATGCCTAGAGAATGCAGGGGGATAAACTGCTCCAATTTAATTGCACCATATGATTTGAAATGAATTACCTTTTCTGGATAGAATCATATACTTAAAAATCAAACACTTGGTAGTTTCTCGCATGTGGTAATAAACTTAAGCAATCAGGAAGGAAAGTTGCCTTTTTCTAACCTTATTTTAGGGTTTATGTGTTTCCCAAGGCATTTATATGGACTAATAATTTTTCTAACTAATTAAAAACTCACTCTAAAATCTAAGAATTGTTGCAACCTTGCTTATGAACTTCAGTGATTGTGAGCACCTGGTTTAACAAATATGTTTTCTCTCTATTTTCTGATTTCCAAAATAGATCTGATCCAGGCTACGAATGAGACAAATGTCAATATTCCCCAAATGGCTGATACACTCTTTGAGCGGGCAACAAACAGTAGTTGGGTGGTTGTGTTCAAAGCCTTAGTTACAACACATCATTTAATGGTTCATGGCAATGAGGTAAGTGTAGTGCATTCTCAAAGCCAACCTTTAATCAAGTAGTAGAAATGCAGAAATAAACTAAATGCCATTTTCTTAAATGCATATTAAATGCTATTTTCACTTCCAGTTATTGAAAAGGCAGTCATTCTTGGCTTCTGAAGGAATTTTATAGTCTTTTCTGATAGCACTTTCCTTTAGATAAGGAAGCATGGCCAAATTTTGCATTAATTCCATCCCTGCCTTCCTAGAGTAATCCTATGAAGTATTAGAGAAGCAAAGCTTCTGCTAAGGTCCATGGCAGTTCACTTTGAATTTATACTTCCCTTCTTTGATACTTTTAAACCTTTCCTGTCGCATTCTTATTGGAAAGAGAATTCTTTCATAGATCAGGAAGCAGGATCGATCAGACTGTTGCTTCTCCATTAGTTCCTATTTACTAGGCCTTGAATGTGGTCACGTCTGCCAAGAATGCCAGCAGCACATGCTCCCTTTGTATTTCACTGGCACAAAAAAGAGCTACCTGGCACAAAAATGTGTGCCATAATTCCTCAGGAATTCACATACTATTTCAGATTTCAGTGGCAATGTGGTGGTGAATGGAAGGTAGATCAAGATCCACTGGTAGATTTCTGGGTGATATAAGACAGATTGGAAAAGATTTCTGACATCCATTAGTTCAACAATAGCAAAACATTTTATATGGCTGAAATTACGCTGGTGAAATTGGGATAACCAGAAGTAGATTTTTGTGTGGAGGAACCCTGAGTTCCATTCAGTTCTGATACTCGGGACTAATGCCTGGACTTGGACTTCCTGAATTCTATGGGTATATCTTTTACATCTTGCTATGATTAGTGACTCTTGAAGGGTTCTAGTAAATACAAATAAGGAAAGCAAAATAGATCGTGCATGTCTGAAGTCTTCCAGCTCTGCTTAAATGGGTGACGACCCCAGGGTCTCTTTCACACAAAGCCAATCCCAAATCCAGGAATGTACATAAATGGGTGAGGAGGGAAGATACATAAGAGCCATACCTCTTCCTTGGCTTATAGTTGTTTCTTGGTTCCTCAAGACAAAGACCTTACTAGAAATTAAATGACTAACAGCATTTCTTTAATGGAAGCATTTCCGGACACAGATGTTTATTGCTGCCACTACTACTGTCAGGATAAATTGGGCCTTCCGTGATCTCTAAGAAGTATCTGCATATTACCAAAAGATATGTTCACAGTAGGCAACACTGTCCCTTTTTGTATGACCATTTGCATCTCCAGAACAGAGCATTGCCACAGTCCATTTCACCAAGTCATCAATGTCCTTGGTGGTACATGTGAAACAGGGAGGTGTTTGTATCAGTTCTTCATTGAGGAGGAAAAGGAAGTTGTTCATTCTAAAACACATTGTCTTGGCTTGGGCAAAACTGGATTTGTTGTTAACTTACACAACAGCCGATTGACTCTGATACAGCAGCTGGGATCACTTCAGAGAAGTTTTAGATATATTGAAGGACAGGATGATCCTGGGACTAGTGGAATGCATTCATGGAACTGGGATCTTGCATACAATGGAGAAAGCAGAATTCATGCTCCAGCAGGATATCATATTTTTCCAGACTTGGTAAAATGACCTTATTGTCACACCAGACCTCTCTGGGGATACTACTTCCATTCAGGTCAGAAATTATCAGTCAGTACCATCATCCAGTGGAGACTTCCCAGGATCTTCACTTTAGTCTTGATTATGATTAGCTCCACAGTGCTTTTCATAGGGAATAATCTTTCAATGCTTATTGCATCTCTCAGCACCACATATACAGTCCATAATCCAACAGGAGGGGGCTCTGTCTTTGCTCAGATGATGCAGTCACAGTTGGATTCCCAGAAAAGCGTTTGAGCATCAAACTAGCTCTGCTTTGCTTCTAGGATCAGAGTCAAAGCTGTTAGGCTCTTGTCAGGACAGGCAAACATTCTTCTGCTCTTCTCATTTCAATCTGGGGTGGTAATATGCCATTATGTGAAGACATTAATGTCGGAATTTGAGTCTGCCTCCTCATACAAGTGGATGCATTTCTTTTGATGAATTTTTCTTTTCCTTGGCTTTCAGACAAAATCAAAAGTCTTACTTTAGAACAGCCTTAAAAGGTCCAGTAATAGAGCACTGTTGTGATTTTCTATTTTTTATACCTGTCTATATCCAGTGTGTTGCCTGAGACACTTCGCAGAAAAACACTTCAGTGTGACAAGGAACTACCAAAAGAGAATTGGAATGCCAAAAATCCCAGCCCCTGTAAAAGAAACATAGAAACATAGCAAGTCAGAAGGGAGCTCCTGGGCCATTTAGTCTTACCCCCAGCTCCACTCATGACATGCCTACCATGTGCATGTCCAGCCTATCCTTGAACACCCTCACTGATGGGGCTTCAGCCACCTCCCGTGGAAGCCCATGCCATACCCTAGGGATCTTAACTGTCAGGACTACTTACTGGCATCTAACTTGGACCTTGATTCCCTGTGCTTTGCTCTATTGGAACCCACCCTGCCCTCCTCCACAGGGGAAAACAGGCCTCAACCCACCTGGGCGTGATATTCCCTCACATACCTATATGTCGCCAACAGGTCCCCTCTGAGTCTCCTCTTCTCCAGGCTGAAGAGACCCAGTTCCCTCAGTCTCACCTCATATGGCTTCCCCTGCAAACCAGCCGTCATTCTTGTGGCCCTACACTGCACCAATTCCAACCTGGCTATATCTCTTCTGTAATGTGGGGCCCAGAACTGAAAAGAGGAAAAGATGACTAAAACCTCATGGGCTGTATATTGCCAGCTCATGTAAAAATCAAAGAAGTGTAGTTGCATACCTGTTAATCTTTGTAGTATAGATTTTATGTAAGCCCTGTTTCCCTGCAATGAGTCACTTGACTAGCTGACGCTTTGGAAGCCCAACTTTAATTCTGTATTTTGAAATGCTTGCCCTTAACTCATATTTTTATTGTACAAATTACTTAACAGTTATCATGTAAATGTATGGGCAGTTTGGGTGGGAGGTACCAACAGTTCCTGACATAAGCATGAATTGAATATTTTCCCCTTTACCTCCCTCTGCAGCCCTCCACACTGCTCTAAAATATGTGCAGAGGATTTTGTATTCCTCTGGAACAGATTTTGAAGTTACAGTGGGAGAGCAGGAATTGTCCCTTCTGGTTCTACTGATGGAACTGTTTGCATCAGCAAAATGACAGCACTGGATCCGATCCATAGTATTGTAAAATACAAGGTTATGTTAGCACTGTTGTATGTTGTGATTGCATCATAAGCAGATATTTGATATTAAGGTGTGAGCGCTCATTTGTATACTTACTTCACTCAGAGAATAATATTTTAGTCTTTTCCCATAATGCTATCAGAATCTTTCCATGTACTAGGCATATGGGAATGCTATGTTTTTCAATTAAATGGCACAGTTGTTTGGGATCAGCAATTTGGGATCAGCTGTAGGACGTGCTAAAATTTGACCTTCAATCTGTGTTATTAAATGCACAAACTGGATAGTGTAATTAAGTCACTTTTTGTGGAAGAAGGCAATACAGATTCTGGTTGTCTGAAATGAATCATCTATATCCACTCTAGGTGGAATTATTTATATTGGCAAGAAAACTCTGAAGTTATGGTGTAAATTATAACATAATTCTCATGTTTTTCGCCATGCTTGTGGGTCTTTCATAAAGTAGTAATAAAACAGTGCTGAAGAACTAATCTTATCATTTTTCTTGCCCCATAGAGGTTTATTCAGTATTTGGCATCTAGAAACACACTATTCAATCTCAGCAATTTTTTGGACAAAAGTGGATCACATGGTAAGAATATTCACTTTCAGTAATGTTTTGTTGGTATTTGTGAAAAGTTGTTATCACTTAAAGCAGAAATGAGAATTATTCCCCTTGTGTTTTATAGCATTTCAGTTGGATCAAGATGAACTCTGTGTGATAAACCATGAACATTGATATATATCTTCCCAGATACAGATTGATGCATATTTTTGCAATGATACTGAAGCATTATTTCTAAACAACATATGGTACAAATCTCTTTGTTAAATTTTAATTGAAAAATAGGGCTTCAGCAATGTGCAAGTACACTATTTAACAGTGAAGCCATTTTAAACAGAATAAAAATTCAGCTTTAAAGCTTCTCCAAGAGAAAGGCTTGGAGAAGGCTTTTCTAGTCCTGTCAGATCAAAGTGAATAAAGCTTCTGTTTAGGTCAACAGGAATTAGCAAGTAGAATAATTGGCAAATAGACTTCAGTGGGTGGAACTTCAAGGTCACACATGTAAATACTCTGTTTGTTCAAGCTACTGTGCCTCTAGTGTAGTAGCATAATATGGAATAAAAGTGTAGGAGTAAATATGGACTCCTAATAAAGCATAGTAGCCATTGTTTAATACAATGTGAAAGATCTTGCACATAATTCAGTATCCTAAGTCGACCCGTATGCCAAGGTTTTACAACTATGTGAAATATACTTAGTTTAGACCAACCTTAAAAGAAGTCATTTATTCTTCTCTCTGCAGAATTGTGTAGCACTGTCCTGCTCCTTATTTGTGGGCTCATGTGGTTGGGGAGAGATTATGTAGATCTCATTTTCTTTGTAACTTAGCAGAAAGGAAAAAGTAAACTCTGCTAGCTGGGGAAGGGATAATGGAAGAGGAAAGGGAAATGCCAGGGGAGAGAATACTCTCAGCTAGAACAACTTCACTAGATTCCTGAAATTTCAGTATTATGCTCTTTCCCCAAAGGAGATAACAAGAAAGAGTTTATGTACTGGGTGTGTTCAAGTCTGGATCTACACGTTTAAGAATGAAACTCATAAATGTGCTGTTTTAGAAGGCTCTTCTCCAATTTCCTGCATTGCCTTGCATTAAAACCAGGCTCCGTCTATGCTTAGTTGATGGAACTAGATAAAATTTCATAGGAACTGCAGAAGGGGTCAATGGCAGTTGCTGGCTGCCCTCAATCCAGTATCAAGTCTCTATCCAAAATGGGAATGTTATATTAGTAGTCTACTATTTCTTAACCTTGGATTCAACTGCATTTCAAGGGCAGATAACTGCATTTTTGCCTCTTCCTCTAAATTCCTCCTTTTCTTATCTTCAACCATGTCTGTTTTAGATTATAAGTTCCACTGGGTCAAAGACCTCTCTCTTTTCCTATGTAATTCTGTAAGACAGCATGTACACCATATGGATAATACCATATGATTGTTCCATATGGATAATAATTTTCATGAGAAAACTTCATTCCCATTGTATGCACATCAGGAAAGCTTTCATATGTATTATAGGATGATAAACTTTGCATAGGTCTTGTTCATATATCACAGCAAGCGTCCTTTATTATTTTAATTATAAGTTATCTTAAGTCCTTTTCCTTTGACTAGTTGCTCCTTCAACAAGTGGGGGTGGCTGCCCAAACCATGGACCCACCATCTGTCATTTGGTTAAACTTATGTGCAACTCAGAAACTCTTTTCTTGGCTATTTCTTTAGCTTGTTGATGGAGAAACAAGCTAGAGTTCCTGATTCACTTTACATAACACTTACTAAACCAGGGGTGGAGGTTCTGTGGTTTGTTCAGCTGGTCCCACTCACTTGAGAGCAACAGGAAAGCATGCTGCCCTGTTCAGATAACACACACACACATTAAAATATACTGTTAGTCATGTCTGGGTCATATAGTATAGATGATATGTGATGTAAATCCTTGGTGTAATCCAAGAAAGAACTGGTGACTTACACAAGTGGATTGTACATACATACGACGTAGATACATAAATCTGTACATAAAATCCTAGGACTAGGAATCCTGGGAGCTGAAATCCTGGCAGAAGACAATTTATACACATGATATGTGGACCCTGAACACCTGACATATGAATGATATGAATCAGATATAAGGCTGAAACAATTCCTGAACGTTTTAGCTGTTAAGGATCAGCTTTCCAGGAACAGAAAATTATTTCAGATTGTAGTATTTGATCTTAGAGGACAAGATGCAGACAATTCCAGCCTTTCCAGAAAACTGGTATTTCTCCAATTTACCTTGACTTTTTTCTGGCTTAGTTTGCACAATTTTGTAGAACAGGTTTAAATTAAAAGACCCTTTAGAGATCTCAAACTCCTGGATGTATTTCAGTGGTACACTTTAGACTATTAATTACTTTTCAACATAGCCCCATATATCATGCCTCTTGACTCGATCTCCTTGATATACAATAAGATAAAATTACTTGAATCTGAGTATTTTCTGCTTAGCTGTTCTCTTGCCCAGGGTGTCTGCTAATGTTTGATATAAAGAACTTCTTTATAGTTACTGCAGATCATTAATCCAAACTAATTGTAGCTTTAAAATGATGGCCAAACCGAATGACATGGTCATAGAAACTAGCCAGGTGAGCAGGATAATCATGCAGCTGAATAAGCAAGGTATGCCAGTTTGGCAATAAGTTAAGTCTGGTGCTCAGTCATACAAAAAATACAAGCTCATTTCTCTCATATAGAAATATGAATTCTACCAACCCTGAAATATAAGAACTAACTTTGATACAGTTTGTCCATTGTTGGGACGGTAAATGTAGAGGTTTTTTTATTGGATTTAGAGTTTTAGAGTAAGATGAATGGTTTTAGATTATGTTGCTGAAATATCACAGGCTCTCGTTAAAAATTTCAACCTCTTTTATTCTATTATTAAAGATTATGCTATCTTTTCTAGGATATGACATGTCCACCTTTATCAGGCGCTATAGTAGATACTTGAATGAAAAAGCATTTTCTTACAGACAAATGGCATTTGATTTTGCAAGAGTGAAGAAAGGGTAAGCCATCCTTTTTAATACAAATACTGTATAATAACCTGTATGTTGATTTAATTATAACTAACACCAACCTAAAATTAATTTCATTAGCGTTTATTAAGAATAAAATTATAGAGTAAGAATATAAGTAGAGATTGTTCTGGCATGCAAATAATATGGCTCTTTAGCTTTTGCAAATCTAAGGTAGGACCTTTAATTTTAAAAAATTATTTCTGCCTCTGGAACATTATAAGCTTGTGATAATTCTCTCATTGATTTTAATGAAAACAATCTGTTCCTAAGAATGGTGTGTGTGTATATATTATCTATATATATCTATATTATAATATCTATAATATCTATATTATATATATTATCTATATATAAATACTAGGTATATATATATAAGAATAGTAAAAGTATTTCAGAAATGAAGAAAAGCTGCTGTATAAGTTGTATAGTGAAAGAAGCTATGGGTTGTTACAGATAGAGCTGAACATCAGGAGCCTACAATAGTTACCTCAATGCAGTTAAGTTGCATTTATATGGAAAGTTAATATACTAAGCCCTGTAGAACAATATGAAATGAAACTGGATTCCCTACATTAAAATTATTTTCCTACCTCTATGCTTTTAGGGACTTCATATGCATACGAAAAGGCAAAGCAACAGGATAAGGTTCTGGTCTTATCTGAATAATTGCCAAATACAGCTTTAAAGCTGTGTCCTACCCTGGTGTGAAAGGGGAAGCACTTCTGCTAGGGTCAGCCGGACAGCTTATGAACTCTCAGATGTTGAAGGCTACAGCTCCCATAAGCACTGATCACTGGGGAGTTCGACAATAGGTAGAGGACTATAGGTTTCCATCCCTGCACGAAGCTAAGTTATTCCTTTATAATCACTATCAGACACAACCCTTTGTTACCCTGTAGTAAGCCCCTAGCTTCAGCACGCGTTCCTGAAGACACTCAAGGGGCTAATAAAAAACAGAGGCCAGTCCAAAATAAAACAAGGAGGAATAAGTTAGGGAACTTATTGAAAGAATGTATCTTTAAGTTACTGTTCAGTTAAGAACATAAAAATGTAAGTAGCTTTTTCAAAACTACAATTTTGTGTCTGAAATACGTGACAGATGGACAGAGTTAGGATTGTATGTTGTACTGTACCATAGCCAAGGATCATTAGATATTTAAAATACCCTTTGATTAAGTACTTTTCCTATAATTAAATATTGACTACTTCAAACTGAAAGTTAATCTTTGCACCAAAGCTTTGGTTTCATTTCTGTTACTAAATAATATCTGTGTGCTGGGTTTTGAATGCATTTTCTTCTTGTTTCTGTATGGTTTTTTGCAGAGCTGATGGTGTAATGAGGACAATGGTCCCAGAAAAATTACTGAAGAGTATGCCAATATTACAGGGACAAATAGATGCACTTCTTGAATTTGATGTATGTATTCAGTGTTTTCTTAAACATTGCTGATAAACCGAAAACATGCCCTGTTATGCAATTCAGTACGAAGAAGACTACATTTAAGTCTATTGAATTTGCACTAACTTTTTTTCTTTTTGTAAGCTTGTCCAAGCTGCAGAAAAAAATGGCTTGAATTACACCTAAGAACATTTCTTTTGGATTTCACTAAAGTCTAGTACAGTTTGGTCCTCTGACTATTAGCAGCATGCAAACTTGAAAATAATGTGCATTTCACACAAGAAGGGTCTGCTGAGGACCCGTTCTCCTTTTTTCCAACCTTGTATTTTTTTAGAAGAGACAAAGAGGTGGTTTGGCTTTTGGTAGTTAGATTGGTTTTCAGTCTTCTTCATACTTCACTTTACTGTAGACCTAGGACATAACGCCTATCTCCCGTCTTGGAGCAGATTTAAATGTTCAGTCCCAAGTGAGTCTGAACAGTGTACATGACTGCTAGTATTCCATATTGTGCCAAAAGAAAACCTAGTTCAGTGTTGTAATAACAGTGAATAAACCATAGGTTCTTATATTTATGTAGGTTCATCCAAATGAACTGACAAATGGAGTCATAAATGCTGCATTTATGCTTCTTTTCAAAGATCTCATCAAGCTTTTTGCTTGTTACAATGATGGAGTTATTAACTTATTAGGTAAGTAAATTGATGAGGACTATTTTAAAACTCATTAGCTGTTAGGAGAACAGTAGTTTTGCAAGTTACAGGGGAACAATTTTAAACACTGGGTTTATTTCATTTCTTGTTGAAGAAAAGATCAACATCATGAAGCTAGTAGTAAATTTCCTTACTTGTACCTAGAGTCTCTTATCTTTCCGGTCCTGAACTAGCCCCAGTGTTATAAAGATTAGTCACTGACCACATATATGTAATTATTACCTTTGTAATGTTTTCTTGTGTTTTCATAATTACTTATACATATTAAAATTCTCAGTTGGCATATAACCTGCTTCTGAACAGTATGAGCCAATTGCCCCTGCTCAGATCCCATCAGTAATTAAAGCCATAATAACTCTGTTAAGTTCTTATAATTCACAGTTTTCTCCCTACAAACTCCAGCTCTTGCTCCAAAGCCATTCAGCTCCCCTCCATGGTTTTTTAATCTACCAACTCTTTCAGGGCTTGTAGACCAGACTTGATAATATATTTTCAGAAAGACTTGACTATGTTTAGTCATGTTTAGATATAAAATAAAAAAATCAAGTTTTATGAATTGATGTTGCAGTCTTTTCAACATGTGCATAGCATATTGCCTTGCTACTTGGACTTTCCCCAAAATAAATAGTCCCACCTCAGGAACATTAGTGCTGACAAAGGTTCCAGAGCATATTCAGCTGCCTAACATTCATTTTTAGTAATTTTGTCTTACAACTAGGCTTTCCAACTGTTGCAACTCAAACAAGAGACTAGGAATTGAGTTTAAGCATAGTCATGATAGGTTAACAATCCCATATTTTGGTTGTATATGTTCAGGCATGAATGCAGTAACCACTATAGAAATCCCTTGAGTAGTGCAGGAAAAGAATGGCTTGGCAATACACGGTCATTGCAACACTTTTCCTTGTAAATGTAACAAGGGCATTTTTCCCTCTTAAAATTTCAGTCTTCAAAGAAAGACTTGCTTATAAAAAGTATCCATTTTTTCAGACTGAAAAATTATCATATTTCTTCCAGAGAAGTTTTTTGAAATGAAGAAAGGGCAGTGCAAAGATGCTCTTGAAATTTACAAACGGTTTCTGACAAGAATGACAAGAGTATCAGAATTTCTTAAAGTTGCAGAGGTAAGTGAAATTTACACAGTGGCCTGCAATACGTGCTCATGGCTATTTAAGCATATGATCTTCCCACAGTTTTCTATTTTATTGCAATCTGTCTTGTTCAGCCACAGCATGCTGTGTAACTTGAATCCTCATGTAGCATCTATAGATAAACTGCAGTGTGTGGATTATCTTGGCATCTGTTGAATTTGGAGAGAGAGATAACATTCAGGATAGCACTAGAATGTGAAGGCGATAACTTGAAACTGTTGTTCTTTTGCCTGCTATAATCTTAATATCTGTTACCGAGTTAAAATGATAGTAGTAAATCAATTTAAAATTACATCATTTGGCAAGCAGCAGGCTGCTGATAGAAATAACTTCCAGTGAATTGGTTCTCCACAGTCCATACTTACAGGATTCTCATGGCTCAGTGGCTTCTCTTCAGTGGAAGATATGGGAACCATGTTGTTTAGTCTTGTCCCTAGGATACACTTCAACTGCTTTTACTCTTTTGCTTTCTACTGAACAAAAATGCGCATGCATAAGCATTTGTTATTTTACTATATTTTCTTGTGCCTCTTATAACCACTTGCCAAGGTTCTGTGGAGAAAGTTCAGGTAGTTTTACCTGCTTTACATTTACAGCATGGGTGTAATTGGTGTGTGATAGAAAAGATTCCAGTTGTTGCAGTCTCAAGAGCATTAAGTATCAGGTCTGGAGCCTGGAAGAACCATCAAAAGATATGTCATATAATCAGTATAGTATGCACAAATCATAGTTAAATTAACTTCAGTATCTCATAGAACTACAGTCTTATCAAAAAAGCAGGTAAAACAATGACTAAGAGACTGTACTGTGAATGCAGAATTCTCCAATTTTCATCTCTAGAGCTTTGTGTTTTGCCTGCTATATCTTTCTGCTTCTAGTCTTTTGTATAATAGTGGACCATCTCAGAGACTTCTTGCAAGGATTCCTGAGAGGATCTATGTGAAATTTTTCGAACACCCAATGAATATAGAAATGCTGAATATTATCTCACTTTTCTTTTTCCAGAAGAGCCACTGAGGGCTCTATCTGAAATTAATTGTTATTAATACACTAAGATATTTTCATAAGCAATGTAAGATTATGGATATGGTAGACAATTGACATGCATGTCCACCCACATTGCAACATTCTAGAACAATATAAATGATGAAGTTGATTTTTGCCCCAGAGAGTTCCTGACTACTGATTGCAAACTGATAACATGACTGCTGGGATCCAAAGAAGGTTTAATTAAGCAACATGACTTTCCATATGTAATCACTTGCCAAAAAGTATCCTGTGGGTTATTTGCATTTACAGCTGTGGGGCAGGAATGGGACTTGGCAGAAATCAGAAAGGCACATACATCCTTATATGAATGGAAGTGTGTTCCACTCATGCTAGAACCACTCATGCATCCAACCCAAATAATGCATGTTACTATTTGCCTTTGATCCTTTCCTTTAAGACTGAAGTGTGAATTGGTAAAATTTTGAAACTTGCTAAACAGTAAGTTGGTTTTTTTCCACCATGTGGCCCGCCTATGAAGACTAAAATGAGTCTTCTGCAGATCTAGCCTGTCTTTATTTTCAGCCTAAAGCATTAAAATAGTAAGCAAGAAAGACAGAAATACAGTAAAGGCATTGTAGTAACAGGATCGAGCTCATCTGATGCAGCCCTCAGGCAACCCACTGGGCATGAGCCTCAGGGCTGTCACTCTGAAAGTCTAGCCTGAATAAAAAGCACAACTTCCCCTTGCACCCAACATGGGAATGACAAGTGTTTCAGGATGGTCTAAAGTAAAATTGTTGTGCTATTGGCAACACATTATCTCATCAAACAAGAATTTTTCCGGCTGGATGGTTGCTAGGCAGCCATCATGACTTTCAGAATTCAGGCCTCAGCTTGTCTATTCTTTGCTGATTTTCTCAGTTGACCACCTTTGGGCAGGGGGCGGTTTTGTACATTAAAACAAAGCAGTGATCTACAAAAGCTGGCACATTACTTTTATCCTCCTTCTCCCTAACCCTAATCCTTCTCTCACATGAGATAGGATTTGCATGCTTCTGCGCAGCTTGCCTTTCCAATAGAACTGTTATTTCAATATCCAGAGTTAGAGCCAACCCAGTCTTTAAATAAATGCGGGCTCTCCTGTTTCAGGTATTTACTTTTATACATGGAGAAACTGTAGCTGGGACAGCTGCTCTATTCATAAAAGACTAAGTCTGTATTTGGGTTCTGATTATTGTTCTCCAAAGTTGCTGTTCTGTGAATAAGATTAAGCCATATGAACCTATGTCTGAAACACATAAGACCTGTCAATGAAAAGATAATGTATATTGCAAATGGAAATTGTAACTATTTTCAAGTTGAATAATAACTTTTCAAATGTGACAGTTAAATTATTTTTTGGGACTTGTAAAAAATGAAAACCTTTTTCTGTAAGAATCTTTTTGTTTTCATCATTCACAGCAAGTTGGAATTGACAAAGGTGACATTCCTGATCTCACACAAGTAAGTTCCTAAGATGCATTTAGATGGATGATTGGTAACAGTAGCAACAGTGACTTTATTCATTTGCATGCAACCTAATGGCATTATTCTTTAAAATATTTTAAAGTTAAAATGCAGATCCTGAAAACAACTACTGTTTTGACTGCTGTCAATCTGTTCTTGTCTCCAGAAGAAGAACTCATTTTTTCAGGCCATATTTAATTTAGAGATGCCTAATGAAAAGACTGTCCATTTCTTCTCCCTGTCAGAGATGCAAATTGATCCCAGAGGCTGAGACTGCAAGTAATGCATCTGGGGGGGAAATTAAGTCTCTAATAACTGTTTTGACTGGTGACTCCTTTTTTTCCTGACAGGTGATAGTTGTAGGGCTGCTATAATAAAATCTGGGTAAGGACATACATTGTCAGAAGCCAGAGATCAGGTGTGGAGTGTTCAAGAGCTGGAAACCCCAGTTTCAAATCTCTGTTCCTGGATGATCATAGGCAAGTCAGTGGCCAAATATCCATGACCACAGCTGGGGGAATAAGCCAAAGTTGTTTATTCCCCTCTCCACATGTCATGAAGAGTCCTGTAAATAAATTAGATTGTTTTGCCCTCATTTGTACAGTAGCATCACATCTCTGCTCCAGCGTTAGCACATTGATTTAGAAACCCTAAAATAGAATGAGAAGTGCTAGGCCTGTAGAGGAACTCTGAGGTTAAATGCAAATAGAAGAACTTCTGCAAGCCTCGCATTAGAGATGTTTGTATACTACTTATTTAAGTAATAATTGATACCTTTCAATTATTCTTTGTTTTCTTAAGTTCAGACTGAATGAAAATGAAGGGTGGCTGATTACCAATTCAGCTTAGGTAATACACATGAAGAATTGTATGTAGCCTTTTAAACCCTTTTGAAAAGTAATTAACAGTTTAAAGAGCTATCTAAAATTATAGGGCATTCAAATATGTTTAAATGCTGAGCAATAAGCTTCCTCTCATTTGTTGGACTGTAGATGTAGAAGTTACTGGCAAAAATAGCCCATTACTGCCTTCATAAGTATAATTTAGACTATTTTGATGGACTTATTCTTAAAATATTTCTGTTCTATTTCTGTTCTGTATATTCTGGAGTTCTTTAGCCCTTTGGGGCTTCTAACTACTAACACATTGACTGGACAGTTTTATTCATAACTAAACTGGAAAATATACTTGTTACTAATCTTAATCCTTAATTGACTTATGTATGTTTTGTTAATTGGTACATCTTAATCTGTTTTAGAAAGAGGATAGTAAAAATATCAATGCTGGCTAGTTGGAAAGCACACAACTATTCGCTTGCAGTCCACTTCTATTCAGAAATAGGTCTTATTGGGCTCCTTGGGACTCATTCCTAAATAAGTGTATTTATTTATTTCATTTCATACTGCCCTCTGGATGGTTTACAGCATTCAAAGCATATAAACAATGGAAAAGAAAAACTGAATCAGAATAAAACCATAAGTCTGCAAAACAGTAAGACAGCATTAATAACTGTAGCAAACCCACAGCAGCTGTTATTGAATTAGTATATAGGATAGCAGAAATAATGATAAAGCAGTATGAAAACTACAATTAATTATTAAAATGTCTAGAGAATAAGCGTTTCACCTGGCTCTGGAAAGGAAAAAGAGTAGGTGCCAGGCATACCTCTTTGGCAAGCTTATTCCAAAGAGAATGCAGCTGTAGAAGAACTAATGCCGGATCTTTCACAAACAGGGAAGATTAAGTGGAAAACTGTTCAGTCTGGGTTTCTATTCAAGACATTTCTAAAGGGTTCTTGAATGGATAGGTAATGCAGCTATTCATCTGAAAATTGAACACATACTTGACCTGGCCAGTGGCAGAGCAGATGAAAGAATCCTGCAAACAAGCCATGATGGGTTGGTTTCCCATTTAATATCTTAAGGTATTGAAACAATTTTAAATCTAGCCCCTTTCAAAGAAACCGGCTAGGTTCACACATTTCTGCAGTTTGCACTCAACCTTAAGCTTTGAACTGTCGGATATCGTGTTGTCTGAATCCAACTGTGCTAACAAACTATGGTCTGTTAATAATGAACAACCCATGAAGAGAACCTGTGATTTGTTGTTGTTAACTGTGGGTAGTATATGGTTAACAAATCATGGGTTGTTAGCACAGTTGCGCTCAGACAGCACATTAACCTATGTTTCCACAACAGTCTACGCTCAGTGCATACACAAGCTTGAATGTGGGTTATCTTATGTGAACCCCTTCATTGACTTAACCAAGTTCACCCATAACTGGGCAGCGGTTAAGATGTTACAGGTAAACCTGGACAACATGATTTTTTTATTCCCATAGTAGGTTAGTTTCCAACCTAGTGATGGTACAGGTACAGCTTTCAGATATGGTGATTAGTTACTTGCTTTGAGATGATGCACTTACTGAGTCTTCATTGATACTCTTGATTATTAAGTATTTGTAATGATGCTGTTATAAATATTCAGAGGATTTATATCTGCTGGTTTTGCTCAATTCCTGCAGGAAGATTAATAAGCTGGGGTAGGGAAGGGGTGGGTTGCAGGGCCCTGCACAAAATGTCACAAGGAAATGATAAGCAGAAGGGCTTGTTTGTGGCTTTAGGCAATAATTTTGTATACATGAAAACTCATCATCTTTTCTGCATCTGTTGTCTGGCAATCTTTCTTTTTGGGTAGTGTGTAGCCACTGCAGGAGAGGGCCTATAAAGAAACCAATTGAAATTAAGCTGAAACAACATGGAGAGTTGACCAGCTTTCTAGACTGGTACTCGTAACACTGTAGAAAGAAAAGGGTGTGTGTGAGTGTGAGTGTCTGTGTGTGTGTGCGGGGGGGGGGGGGGGGGGAGAGAGACTGAACAACAGACAAAGTCACCATTTTGGATTAACTTTTAAAGTGGTCTGTTGGTCTTTCTCCAGAATATCTTAATGATCACCTTCTGTAGGATCCTGCTTTGGTGCTAGGATGGCCAGGTAAAAAAGTGCACTTGAACTTTTAGTAGTTGTGTAGAAGAGGGAATTCCACCTGGTGTTTCAGATAAACTTGCTTCTTTTGTACAACTATTAAAAGTGAAGCTGTCTCCTTTCCACCCTGTTCAACAATAAAGGCTTTGTAGGTTATTTCCTCACTGTCAGCCATTCATAGGCCAAGATGCAAGAGAAGGCCCTTTGCCTGCAGTGCCCAGGTTGAAGAGTGGTTTCTCTAATATGACCATATGCCTATCTCATTGGTCACCTTTGGGAAACAGATAAATGTGCTTTTGAAAGAGCCTGAATTTGAACCTTTTGTCTTGAATCAATTTTATTTGGTTATCTTAAAATTTTCCTTCTCACCATTTTTATTAACATGTACAATTTATTATATTAATGTTTAATGGATTATTTAAAAATGGTGCATTGCAAGCCGTCTTGCATATCTATGGTAGAATCCAAACTTTTTTTAAAAAATAAAATTAATACTTTAGATTTTTAACAATCTGCTGAGGCCTTAAAATTCTGGTTTAAAAGTCTATGCTGAGAGTCTCATTATTTTTTCCCATGTCTATCTGTCAAACACATTTTTAAAGATGCTTTAAGTTATGGATTCAACCTGTCATGGGCATGTCTCTCTCTCCTACTTTTCCACTCCAGTAGTCTCAGATGAGTTTTTGGATGTACAATCTTTTTATTAAAGTTTATCTGGGGACTAGACACTATAAATCAATGTGGCCTTCTCTTTTTGATGCACCCGAAGCATCTGCTCATGTAAAAAGCTGAATCCAGACTGAGACTTCCCCTCCTTCCCTCCCTTCAGGGTGGCTCCTGGTGCTTGAGGGCCAGATGGCAGGCAAGTCAAACACTTCCTAATTGGTCACTTGCTTCCTAATTGGTCACTTGCTTGTCTCTTGACTGGGTCAAGGAACTCCCTCCTAATCCGCTGCCCTCCTGGTTCTGCAAGGCCTCCTCCTTTTCCAAGGCAGGCTGGTTCTCACCCTCTGCCCAAGAATCTTTGCTAGGTAACCTTGAAACAGCGGAGCCAGCGGCCCCCTCTGCCGCCTTCTCAGAAAAGGACAAGTCTAACTGAGCAGACTGATGTGTGGAAGGTGGGCCCCTCTCCACAGTGTATTTTTTTTGATTGATTGGATTGGATTTCTATACCACATTTCTGAAAATAGCCAAGGCAGTTTGTAAGAAGTTCGGAAAACCAAAACCATAATCTAATAAATACATAGACTGGGTACCCTTGGTATGGCTGGTAAGTTTTGACAGTTACTTGTCAAACTCAGTTTCCCTTTAAAAAGTGTGGTATGGGGGATGACACTTTAAGCTTTTCCTAAACACCTAGAGATCAAGAGTTTCTCCCATGTTGATACTACAGAGGGAAAACAAAAAAGATACTCTTGCTGATGTAAATGCCCCCAAAACAGGATTTTAGCACAGGATTTCTCCTGACTTCTCTTTTCTTTTGTCAGGTTACCAGTCAACTCTCAAGCCCCTGTTCAGCAGTGCTCAGGGTGGGCATCACCCCCCTCCCCCCCCAGCAATGGGCACTTCCTAGTCAGCGTCCCAACCAAGGCTTGAAATCCATGTTATGCACATTTTAAATTGGATTTGTTTTTTTTAAAATATGAATTGTTGGATTTTTTTATATGAATTGTTTTGCACACATCTTTAGGCTTATTTTTTAAAAAAATGCTGGCTAGCGTGGGCAGACCTTGGAGGAACAGCTTGTAGCTGTCTGAACCCAGCTTGTAAGCACAAATAGATAACCCACATTTCAACAACAACCTATTGTTCAGTAACAGGACACATTCAACCCATATTCAGCCCATGCTGTCCGAACCCTGTCAATCCCACGTGGGTCTTGGGGAGTTCCCTGGGTTAGAGCACCATGGAAAAGAGGTGTTGGGGAACTGACACTGTCTGCTATGGCTTGCCTGGACTTCAGGGTGATCCTTGCTGAGGGACCATCTCCCTCAGAGGTGGAAGGTTGGAAGCCTCTTCAAGCACACGATTTTACACAGCCCCCTCCATTTCGTCTGTCTCCTAATTCTTGGGCCTCATACTTGCTTTCAGTCTTCCACTTCATTGTGAGCTTGTGTTCACAGATGGGTTCAGATGGCGCAGCTTGACTGTCCTCGGAAAAAATAAATGGTGGCTGTATTTCCTCTTTGTCCCTGCTACCACATCCATGGCACTTTAACAACGGCTTCCCTGTCTCATCTGACTTGGAGTGAATTCCCATGTTGTCTTGGGGCATGTCTACTGAAGGCGTTGAGCCCAACTGCTACACATAATAACTTTAAAAACAACTTGAAAGGGAGTGAGACCTTTTTTCTATTTAAATATACGACTTTTGAGGTCAAGAATTATAACATGACACTAAAACAACTGAGAGTTAAGACATTGTTTGTTGTTGGGTTAACTGAACCCACGAATTGATTGTGACATGTGAATGAGGGAAATAGGTCATGTAGTAAGTATTGTATAAAACCTGAATATTTAGATTGACAAACAGAACCACATGGTAACTATCTTTTATGTAATGGACATGCAGCATTCTTTCCAGGTAAGTGCTAATCTCTGAATTTGGGCACTTGGTTTGAAGTTAGTGACCTCATTTGTATCCGTACATGCTGGTGTACAAACATATGCAAATCGTAATGCTATAATTTCATAAGTTTTTCTTTAAGTAGATACATTCGTTATCGCAAAAGGCATGTGGGCACTTTGAGCAGAGATTTTGGATTATATTCCTAGCTTCTAATAAAAAGTCTTAATTTTACATGATAATAGAGATATTATGATTGCTTATAACAAGTTTGTATGAATGCTTGTTCAGAATATACAGCTAAGGAAAGTTGATTGTATATCAGGCCTCTTTCTTGCTGATGGTAAATTAATATACCTTGTGAAATTAGGAGTAGAGTTTATCATTTCCTGTTCAGCAACTTGAGAGGGTTCTAGATCCATTCCTACATTTTCAGGTAGGAAAATGGCAGTAGCCAGACATTCGTCTTAATTACTCTTCCCTCTGATGAAGATTAGGTTTAATTGAGATTCATGACTGTTACCATTAGTAAATTGTAAAACTCTGTGGTTTTACTTCTATAATGGATTCAAAGTGATTTTGCTGTTCTAAAACACATTTTAGGGAAGGGTGTAATAAACTAAAAATTTACTTTAACATAGAAAAAAAGTGCAGCAGTGGCCATCTCGTCTTCAACTAGTGTTCAAGTATTTGTAAGGCTTACATATAACAAGTGGAGACTGTGGGCAGGCGTATGAAAGTGCAGAGGATGAGAATATCTGGAGTTCTGAGATGCATCGCCATCAATATGCTGATGACATGCAGCTCTACTTCCCCTTTTCACCTTCACTGGTTATGGCTGTGGATTTGTTTAACCAGAGGCAGGCTGCAACAATGGACTGGATGAGAGCTAATAAATTGAAGCTCTATCCTCTGACTGTCTGGGTTTCACTGCTCTTGAAGAACCAGGTCATTAGCTTGGGTGTTATCCTGGAGCCATCTTAATCACCTGAGTCTCAGGTAGCCCTAGTGGGACAGTCTGCTTTCTAGTAGCTTTGGCTGGTGGCCCAGCTGTGGGCCTTTATGAACAATCATAGCTTGGTTTCAGTAATCCACACTGTGATGATTTCTGAGTTAAATTACTGCGATGAACTCTTTGTGGAGCTGTCCCTGAAAACAGTTCACAAGCTGCAGCTTGGTTAAAGTGTGGCATCTAGGCTACTCACTGGGACCTGAAGGTCCAGACATATAAAACCAATTGGCTGTATGCTTCTGAGCCCAGTCCAAGTTGCCAATTTTAACCCATAAATCCTTGCAAACTTGGGAATGAAGTAACTACTGGGTACTTCCTGCAGCTGCAGTCTACCTGGATACTACAATCCACACCTGAGGTCTTCCTTTGTGAGCCACCTCTGAGGGAGGCTTGGAGGGCAGCGACAAGGTAGAAGGCTTCTCAGTAGTGGAATGATGTCCGCATTGAGGCTGCCCGGCACCAAATTTGTTACCCTTCCAGTGCCAAGATATTAAAGATATTATCTAAGCATCTTGTACAGCTTGATGGATATACCTATGACAGGTGTGTTTTTAACAGGCCTGTTTTGTATCATATATTGTTTTAGCTGTTAGGTGTTTTCAAGTGTTTCATTGTATTATGGCCTTCTTCCAGGATGGTTGTAAACTGTCCAGAAAGTGTTGCCTATTAGGGGGTATAGAAATGAAATAAATAATAATATAAATCCTTGGAGCTGCCATGCCCTGAGCCATTGGTATGTTATGTCTGTCCTAGCACTGATTTTCCAAGGGCTCTTAATAGTATTGGTATGCTGCCAAACATTATGGGATGCAAATCTGGGGTTTACACTCAAGTTTAAATCCTATTAATGTCCTAACTCTGAGTAAGAACTGAAGAGTCACCAGATATTGCCATAGATGTAGATTATATATTTTAAAACCTGTTTATATGCAAAAGGCACCAATATCTTCCTTTTTAAAAACAAAAAATCAGTTAGAAACAGGTAATGTTTAGGGAATAGTCATATGTGGTACCCTTACCTCAACCTTAAACATGGGCACCCACAAGCTGGACATTTTATGAGCAGAGCCTGATTGTGCCAGGGTCAGACTTGATGGCCTAGGAGGCCCCTTCTGACTTCCTATGTTTCTGTGTTTCCATGTTTTCTATATGTAAAATGGTCACTATTTTTATGATGGTTTCCCATGAAAACAGTTTATTTTTGACATTGTAGAATCTTGTATTGGAAACTGAGACTGCTGGTTCTAGAAGGATAGCCAAGGGTTATTAAGAGTTGCCAACTTAGTCCTACGAGCAAGCTTTGCACATTGTTAACTAAACTGGTTTAATCAGAGTGTAAATCTGTTTTATGCATGAAAATAACTTAGGTATTGCTGACCAGAGTTCTCTGTGATCTGAAAAACAGTGATGATAATGAAAAGTCTCCTTTTAAAGAATACACAGTTGATGAACCGGTAATCTTGATAAAATACAACTTGCATCTAACTTCTCTGCCTCTGAAGGTTTTCTTCTTTGATTACTCACTTTGTGGAAATCTGCTTATCTAGGCACTATTTTTATCCTGGAGGAGCTAAGGACACTGTTAATTGTTCCTACTGTACTTATTTTCCTTTCTCATTGTAACAACAGCAAGAGCATGTTTATGAGTCCTTTAAAATTGGCTATAGTATCTTTATTTATTTATTTATTTATTTATTTATTTATTTTTTAAAACATTTTTATGCCACCCCATTCGCCGAAGCCTCAAGCAATCTTGAGGAAATAAAGAGAAAGAACAATTTTATTGTGGCTAAAATATTATTTTGTGTTGCATCTTTAACTAATTTTTGAAAGTATAATTTTGAACATAAAAGACTGCTTTTGGTCCCTTAAAACAAAAAACAAAACAAAACACATCTGAGTACTGGTCTAGAAAATGCATTCTATAGGTACCATGTACTGCTGCAGAATGTTCAGAATTATAGTATAAGCCTATAGCATAAACAAGCTCTGGATCTGAGAGCATACCTAGAGCTGCAGCCATTCTTTTCTAACATTCATCCTGTAATGATTAATACCTGCGATGTCATCTCACTATGCCTCATTGTCCCTGCCTAATTTCATTGGTCACTATGCAGAGGATACATGACATAATGGCAGGCTTTCATGCACTGGGTAAACTTTACAGGGGTGTGAGATCAAATATGGGGGCATCCATTTCATTTTTCTTTCTAAACATATCATCTTAAACAATTTTGCTAGCCGACTTCAGTAAAGAAAAGAGTAAAAAATTGATGAAGCTAATTAGGTTGAATGCACAAGCTATGCATGTAAATTACCTGTTTAGTTGTATTTATTACTTTGATTTGTGAATGCCTGTGCTGTTGTTAATTTCTAATATACACACACTCTAGCTAAAATGCATGCTAACCAGACTTTTTTCCTGGTTATTTTTTTTAACCAATAACCAAAAGTGAATGTACTTAACCAAGCAATACAGTTTCAATAGCAGCATTGCAGTGGTGTTATTTCTCACAGCTGTGCTTTAGAATTAATCCAATGGCATGAGCATGCACTGAACTGGGTATAAATATGACTACCAACAGTGCTTCTTTTCTCCAACCCTTCCTTGTAAATAGCTGTGTTTTTTTAATCTGTCTTAGGCTCCCAGTAGTCTTATGGAGACGCTTGAACAGCATCTAAACAGTTTGGAAGGAAAGAAACCTGGAAACAGGTATGCATAATTTTTAGCTCTGCGTGTCAGCTTACTACCATAAATTACTACCCATTACTAAATTGCTAAATGCGCCAAATTACTTCAGACTGCCCCTGATGGTTCTATTCTGCACTGAGGCATTTGTTACAGCCTAGCAAGGAGTGAACAGAGTATCCAACTTTTGACTCCTGACCTGTCCTGAGCCGGCTGGTGCCGGAGGTTGGACTAGATGGCCCGGGAGGCCCCTTCTGACTCGCTCTGTTTCTGTGTTTCTCTCTGTGCCTACTAGTACCATTGCCAAACTTTCTCTCATGAATGGCCATCCATTTAACTCAGGGACAGCTTGTGGGGGGTAGCCCAGTCATTTTCGGTTTGGGATAGCAGGGACAGCACCGATATAGAGCTATTCCAGCTGTGTGTGCTTGTGAGTTCCTGGGCACATGCATGCATTTGTGCTTAGAAGACCTCTGCCAAAGTACATCCAGAATAAGTAGTGCATGCGTGTGTCATGGCAATAACCTGTCATTGAGTTGCTGGCACACTGTGTGTAGCTGATCTGTCTCTACCGAGTAGACATGTTCAGGATTGACCTGTATGCTGGCTCATAGTATCCCTGGTTTTGATAACTTCAAGCTTCTTCTGTATTATTGAGCATAAACAGGTTCCACACTAGTAGGTGTAAATTATTTCTGAACTACATATATACCATGTGTGTTCAGCAAGTGTTCACAGCTTCTTGCCTAAATAAATATGTCTGTGATTTGTTTATAACTGTAAGACGATACAATATTAAACTTTCATTAACAAATCCTTCTTCGTATGTTCTTTTCTTTTGTTTATGTACATGACTGTTGTACAACTTAGTGAGGGGTAAGTAACTAATACTTGCAAATGCTTTTGCATGCATCTATTTTAACATATCTGTTAGTGAAAAAATAAGCCTATCCTAGTTTTATTTCCATGAATGTTAATTTCATTCTGTTAATTGGAATACAGACCTAGAACAGTGTCTACAAAATGAAATACCTATGAAATCGTCTTACAAAACACAGTGGGAATACTTTAATTTGCATGGTATGCTTTTTAAAATGCTTTTCTGTGCTAAAAGGTTATTAAACTACATGTCTACACTAGCTAGTTAAATGGATGGATCTCTAATTTTACCTGTCTGTAAAGAGAACTGCATGTTAACTATGATAAATATTAACGAGAATGAAGTAGCAAAATTACAAAAGGCTCATAAAAATATTTTTGACTGGAAATACATTGATTTTCAATTAAAGCATTGATTGATTGGTGTGGATTCAATTATATTGGAAGGACAAACTAGGTGTGTCTGAAGTATGTGCACATTACATTCTGTGAAACTAATTTAACTCGGGCGTGTCCATATTTAATAATTTTCTTTCCCTGCAAGCAAATGATTAAATATGAGGATTCCTCTCCCCTTCCAGAGGTTGTGGTTTAGAGAAAGGGAAGGGAATCTCCAAAGGCTGAATTAAGGGCCATGCATAATGACTTGTTTTGGTACATTTTATTGATCTGTTAATGTTTGTTATAGGAGAAACTGAATCAATTTATTCCAAGCATTAAGAATTTATTCCAATGCATTATTCCAAGCATTAAGGGATGCCGAAATACACAAATCTTTAAGTACTGTTTGCCACAGACTGTGAACTCATACTCAAGCCTGCTTATGATATTCCTAAAGTATATTTCATTAATTTTTCTAGCTCTGGTGCACCTTCACCCTTGGGCAAGGTAAATGTTTAGTACTTTCATTTCTTCATATTTCCAGTTAAGTTTACTTTCTTGACAAAATTGAGTAACAGTTTTAAAGGTAAAGGCCATGATAAAAAGCCATGATACATTTGTTGAAGTACAGGGTTGGTGTGTGCGCATGTGTGTGTGTTTTCATGTGTGAGTATTCAAATCTGTACATCAACTGCTGCAAACTGATCTCTTTGATGTAAACTTTTTTTTTTCCTTTTCCAAAAAACTAAATGTACCGCAAGGTTACACTTTTTTAATATAGATATTTTTAGAAACAAGGGTAGGGGAAGGTCAGATCTTTATACAGAATTATAGCACTAATATTCAAGTAAGGTGAGCTCCAAAAGATCTTGCTCGTACACAGATGCAATACATCAGAACACAGCCTAATTTAGCTCAGATCCATTTGGAAGTGGAACCCAAGTCAGGATTCATAAATTTGATGCATCATTCCTTCCCATTGACTATCCTGAAAATTACAAAAACTGTGTTTTTGTGTGTGTGTGTGTGTGTGTGTGTGTGTGTGTTTTGCTAGAGTTAAACATATGTTTGAAGCATAGTAGCCTTTTAAGAAGGGAATATGACTGCCAAGTTTCAGACAAGAGTTTTTGAGCTACATGCCTCTTAAATTTTGTTTTTATATATGAAGAGAATTGCTAGTGATTTTTCTGCAGAATGGGTGAAATTTGCATGAATATCGTTAACCTTGCCAAGTTCTTGCTGAATAAGTACAAGGCTTGAAAATATCTAAAAAAAAATGGGCTTATCCTCCTGTGTTCCTTGTGGACTGTTCTGCAATATTACCATTTTATTTATATGCTGCAAAAATGGTGTTCAAGATTGCTAATAATAACATGCAGATTAAAATGAAATTTTAATTAAGAGATAGTGTGGATATGGATAAAATAAAAAATACATTAATAAAAGAAACGGCTCTGTCCCAACCTCCACTTGCTATGAAACCCTTTTATTGCAGTGATTCCCTTTGTGAGCATACAGGTTTCTCAGAGGTAATCACGGTATACAAGTTCAGGTTGTCAACGGGCATCTGGTTGTATCTCTGGCCATACAAACCATATATCCCCCTGAATACAGTTCCCCCTGACAGCCTTACCCCATGCTTCTGTTTCCATGGGAGGCTGGGAGGGTTGTGATCTGTTCTCTCCTACAAAGGAATAACTCTCCAAGAATCACTACCTGTCTCTTGGTCCTGGTGGGAAACCTGCCCCTCAGCTTTTGGCTTTGCCTGACTATGCCTTTCTGCCCTGCCCTCTTTAATTGACAGTGGATCCAAGGAGATATCCCTGGAACATCTCCTGCGGAAGCTTCTTTCTGCTCCCCTTTTGCATGGGACAGTGTCCCTGACTTGATAAGTGGGCACCTCTGTCAGGTTGAATCATCAGATGAGGTGCATTAGTGATATCAGTCTGTAACACCACTATCCTCCATTCACCAGGGTGTGAGAGGACAGGGCAAACTGAATTGTCAGGACTCTATTTACTCATGCCTGGGCCAAATGCTACCTTCTCTTCCTCTGCGACCAAAGCTGTACTTGGACTGGGGCAAGGTCCCACAGTAACAAACTTGCTTACATGCCAAAGACATATCTGAACAAAAATGGCTTTGCCTGCTACCAGGAGGACAGTAGAAAGGAAGATAACATAGCTTCTGTTGGGAGTTCTGGAATATAGATGCATATACAAGAATACCCTCTCCTGTATCCATACGAGATTGTCTCTGACTGAAAGAAGGATCTTTCCAAAACTTGACTAGCCTTGTATGAAAGAAGGTGGTCTTTTATGTGGTGTGGTCCCAAGCCATAAAAGGCTGCATAGATTATCCCCAGCATTTTGAAACAGACCATTCACCAGAGCCATGGTGGGCCTTTCTGCCCCATCTCAGACAGATGGTTAGAAGGTTATCATGAGTGCTGGTACAGAAAGCCACCGAGAGGTCCAGCCAGTCCAACAGGCACACACTTCCCCTGTCCAGTTCCCGGCAAAACATTCTCTGTTCTATAATCAGGGCTGCAGTCATAGTGGTAAGGAATCTGCTTGTCTGGAAATCTGAGGAGTCAAGAAGTTACCATGATTTCCAGTACCATACCCAAGAATGGCCCAAAATTTGTAATATGGCACAATTCAGGAAGGATTTTTTGAGAAGAGTTCTCACCACCTCTTCCTTTGGGCAAAACGGAATCTCACCATTCACAAAGAGGCGCTCACTGCTATCTTATTCATGTGGCCAGTCGCCTCTGCCCTTTAGCTTCTTTTTTAAGCCAGGAATGACAAGGATCTGTTTTCTAAGTGATGAGGCTAACCTTTCCGAAGATCCTGTTCAGATCTTCTGGGTGGACAAAGCAGCATCCAACAGACTCATATGAGTCTGATTCTTTTCTGGCATCACTCCCATGGCCTAGGGTTGAAAATTAGCTGTTCAATGTTTGGTTGAACTCTCTTGCCCCTGTTCCATTCATTTAAACAGCCCCAGCTACCTGGAAAACCAGGGAACTCGTATCTTTCTACTAAGTGAGACAAAACAGAAGCAATTGTGTCATCAGACTTGGCCATTTTCCTGTTCCTCCAGACCTAAGGGAAGGGAGGATTGATTCACTGTTTTATTACATACTAAAATACACAAGATAGTTTGAGAAAGTAAAACAGAAAAGGTAAGGCTAGGGTATCTCAAAGTTTTTTACCCTTCAGGAAGGACTTTAGGAACAGTATTAAGTTAATCTTTGAGAAGGAAAAGGAAAGGATTTACGATGAACAAACAGAACTTGAAGCCTTCTGCTGTTCTGCTGGCCCAATGTGGAGCTTCTTGCTACAGAACAATGCAGTAGCTGACAAAAGAAAGCTGAAAGAGTCACTCTCTAAAACACAGCAATTGAAAGCCCCTGATAAAATGTACTCTTGTGAATGGTACTTCTCCCTATCCCACATCTGTGTTTACAGAGAAATGACACCAAAAGACATTTCCATTAGAAACAGACTGCTATTCCGAAGCCTCAGTTGCAGATGAAACTTCATGTAGAGTCCAGCTTTGCTTCTGGTCATATAGTAGGGAAGCCCACTTTGCATTGAGAAGCATCAGAAATTGTCAGAAGAAGGCCAAGCTCAGTCTTGATCTCATTTTGTTGAGGGCTCTCCTACACTAGAGGCATTCAAGATGCAGTTGAACAGCCAGCCAAGAGGGATGGTTGAACTTGGAGTCCTGCAGTGGACGGGGTGGAACGCAAAGTCCTTCCTGGCCCCTTCCAACTCTACTATTCTATGATTCTAGGATCTTAAAGTTCAGATTGTTTTAAGCTAAAACGTCCAGCAAACTGAATGAAAATCCATTGAGGAAAAGTTGTTTTTTTTTTAATTGAGAAATGCAAGAAAGCAAAATGGCTGTCTGAGGCAGCTTTACAAATAGCTGAGGAAAGAAGGGAAGCAAAAGGCAAAGGAGAAAGAGAAAGATACACTCAATTGAATGCAGAATTCCAGAGAATAGCTAGAAGAAATAAGAATGCCTTCTTCAATGAACAGTGCAAAGGATAGAAGAAAATAATAGAATAGGGAGGACCAGAGATCCCTTCAAGAAAATTGGAGATATGAAGGGAATGTTTCATGCAAAGATGGGCATGATAAAGGACCAAAATGGCAGGGACCTAACAGGCAGAAGAGATTAAGAAGAGGTGGCAAGATTACACAAAAGAACTATACAAGAACTATACAAGTCCCTGATAACCACAATGGGGTGGTCACTGACCTTGAGCCAGACATCCTGGAATGTGAAGTCAAATGGCCTTAGGAAGTCTGAGCATCAACAAAGCTAGAGGAGGTGACAGAATTCCAGCTGAGCTATTCAAAATCTTAAAGGACAATGCAGTAAAAGTGCTATACTCAATGTGCCAGCAAACTTGGAAAACTCGGCAGTGGCCACAGGATTGGAAAAGGTCAGTTTACATTCCGATCCCAAAGAACGTTCAAATTACCGCACCATTGCACTCATTTCACATGCTAGCAAAGTTTTGCTCAAAATCCTACAACCTAGGCTCCAGCAGTATGTGGACCAAGAACACCAGAAGTACAGGCAGGATTTCGAAGAGGGAGAGGAACTAGAGATCCAATTGCCAACATATGCTGGATCATGAAGAAAGCTAGGAAGTTCCAGAAAAACATCTACTTCTGCTTCATTGACTATGCTAAAGCCTTTGATTATGTGGATCACAACAAATTGTGGCAAGTTCTTAAAGAGATGGGAGTACCAGACCATCTTATTTGTCTCTTGAGAAACCTATATGTGGGTCAAGAAGCAACAGTGAGAAGTGGACAGGGAACCACTGATTGGTTCAAAATTGAGAAAGGAGTTCGGCAAGGCTGTATACTGTCGCCCTGCCTATTTAACTATATGCAGAACATATCATGAGAAAGGCGGAGCCAGATGAATCACCAGTTAGAATTAAGATTGCTGGGAGAAATATCAACAACCTCACATATGCAGATGATACCACTCTAATGGCAGAAAGTGAAGAGGAACTAAAGAGCCTCTTGATGCGGGTGAGGAGGAGAGCACAAAAGTTGGCTTGAAATGCAACATTAAGAAAACCAAGATCATGGCATCTGGTCCTCTCACTTCCTGGCAAATAGATGGGGAAGAAATGGAGGTAGTGACAGATTCTGTTTTCCTCGGCTCCAAGATCACTGCAGACGGGGACAGCAGCCAAGAAATTAGAAGACGCTTGCTCCTTGGGAGAAAAGCTATGGCAAATCTAGACAGCATACTAAAAAGCAGAGACATCACCCTGCCAACAAAAGTGTGTATAGTCAAGGTTATGGTTTTCCCAGTTGCAATGTATGGCTGTGAAAGCTGGACCATAAGGAAGGCTGAGCGCCGAAGGATTGAGGCCTTTGAATTGTGGTGCTGGAGGAGACTCCTGCGAGTCCCTTGGACTGCAAGGTGATCAAACTGGTCAGTCCTAGAGGAGATCAACCCTGACTGCTCTTTAGAAGGCCAGATACTGAAGATGAAACTCAGATATTTTGGCCACCTAATGAGAAGGAAGGACTCCCTGGAGAAGAGCCTAATGCTGGGAACAATAGATGGCAAAAGAAGAAGGGTGCAGCAGAGAATGAGGCGTCTTGATTAAGTCACTGATGCAGTTGGTGTGGGCTTAGGTGGACTCCGGGGGATGGTGGAGGACAGGAAGGCCTGGAGGAATGTTGTCCATGGGGTCGCGATGGGTCGGACAGGACTTTTCGACTAACAACAACAAGGCCAAAACCATTGTCATGCAGAGAAAAGTCAATAAGCCTATTATTATTATTATTATTCAGATTTTATGTTTGCATAGCTTCAAAAAAAAAAAAAAACATAAATTACCGGTGCTTGTTGATAGCTGAAAGCTATTCTCAAGCTGATTGCAACTCCTTAAGAGAAAATTCCGGGCAGAACAATCATTTTTAGTTTTTTGCATTGTTATATCCTCAGACACTTGCTCCTGGGATTATAAAGTAGTGACAAATGTTGAGAATATTCTAAGAGAAGATGAGGGTTAAATAAATCAATCTGCTTATGTGTAATGTTCTTTCCTTCCTCTAGTAGTCATCTAATGGTTCAGCTGCATCTCTGGTTGCCTTTCTGTTTCTGTTCTGAAAACATTTAATATTCTGTATTAACATTTTTAGACAATATGCTGCTTAAATTCTTATGTGCTTGCTTTATTCTTTTATGTTGCCACTTTGTCCTTTTTTGTTCTTCTAATTTGTGCAAAATTTCATTATTTAAAGGAAGCTTTCTTGCCTTTAATGGCAGTTAACTGTACTGCCATCCTGTTCGACATGTTTTTATTTCTTTCCTAACAATTCTATATAAGCTTCTATTATCACGATTTGAAAATAAATGCCAAGCATTTTGAAAAGATTTAACTCTCAGTCACTCCATTTTACCTAATCCTCTCATTTATGGAAAGTTTCCTCCTCTAAAATTTAAATATGAACATCTTGGCTTCCTGGACAGCTTCCCACTTCAGAGGGTTTAATTTGCTGGTGCTGTGGTTTGCATTCCAGAATGGCTTGACAACACTTGTTTTTGTATCAAATCCAGGTTAAGTCTAGGATTGCCTTCTCTCTACTCGGTTTTATTATTGTTTCATAGAGCAGTCATTTATCAGATCTAGAATGTCTGTTTTCATAACCTGAAAAAAATAGCTGTTATAGATTAGGGTCTGTTTCAGAACCTTATACAAATCCTGCCTTTATTCTTTGATTGAAACCATATGCCTTAATACAGGAACAAAAAATTATTCCAAGTCCTTTACAATTAGCTGCATCAATATTTGGGATCAGAAATACTCTATAAGGTTTCAGTCTTTTAATTTTTAAAAAAATTAACTCTAGGAAACAAAGGGAGAGAGGGGAAGAGGTGATAGTCTGTACTGGGATGCGTCTACATTGAACAGCTACTAAATATCTGGGCAAAACTCTGAGCGGCATGCAGAAATACTTGCTCCTGCCTATGTTTCATATTAAATATGTGGGACTGTCAGATTCTAAATGTGAACACTGAATTGTGTTTTTCCTATAAGGATCAAATTGGGGATTAGTTTCATTTGCCTGTTATAAAGTTGACATCTTTTAAACTGTGTTTGATTTCAGATAGAATATCCAGTGTTCAAAGAACTAGACTTCACTACCTTAACCCTGGATTTGGACTATACAGAGTTGTTGTTTTTTTAAATACTGGCCAGTGGCAGGGAACATAGACTTCTTTTAACACTCCTTTAACAAAGAAACACCCTTACTTTAAACATATACTGATGAGATCTTTTTCGAAGTGGCTGTTGGCAGTATGCCAGTATCTCTCATCACAGGGAAATCTGAGATCCTGCTTGATCTCTCCATAATATTGAGCTTCTGTGGACTAGGGATCCAATCTACGAGAGAAGAGCTCACAGAAGCTTTTTAACTTGCAATTAATACAGAAGTGTCTTAATTTCCCTGTGTTCTCTTCTTTATGTGCTAGCCAAATCAGTTAAGAATGTTATACCTACCATTCAGCCACTTTGGAATATATTATGAAGAAATGGCCATGTAAAGGGCTGCCATTTGGAGTCAAAATGCATGTTCTATTAGTTACCTTATTTGCATTTGTATGCACGGTTTTCTTTCAGAAATAGCCAATGCAGTAGTGCTTTAACCCTTTCTCCTGCACTGTGGTTTCCTTTGAGGAGAGAAGAGCCCATTTATCATGACAAACTAAATTTTAGTTTAGTTTAGCAAGTAATGTATTAAATTACAGATAATGCTGAAAATGGCAGTAAAATGAGGCTGCAGCAATTTAAAGGAATGATGGACTAGTTGGAAAGAGGTGCTGAATCCTGTCCCTCAAATGCCACACCTTCCCACGTATCCATACTGCAGTTCAGTTTTCCTCCATTCCTGCTTCTTTATAAATTGGCATTGATGTGATTTTGTTAAATATTCTTCCCACTATTGCACCTTATTTGATCCTTAAACTTAACTGCTTTCTCGCTTTTTAGGCCTTAAATATTGGGAATAGTTTTTAATATCTTGGTTTCTAAACATTCATGGTATTACTTTTTAAAAGTAGAACTAAGGAACAATTTACTTGTATCTGTACACAGTCTTCTGTAGTAATACTTAAATTGGATTTAACATAGGCAATATTTGTACCTTGAAAATTGGTAAGGAAATGACCCTATTAATGCCAACTTTATCCTCAAGATGAGGAACACATTAGTTAATTGAAGGAGAATATTTCAGGTATATACCTTTTTATGGGAAAAGTTTTAAAAATTGTATTATGCGAAAGTAAATCTGCTTGGGGCACTATGTATTTATGAATTCTTCTTGTCCAGTCTTCTCCAGCCACAACTGTTACATCTCCTAATTCCACCCCGGCAAAAAGTATTGATACATCTCCTCCAGTTGATCTCTTTGCAACATCTTCTACAGCAGCTCCAGTCAGGTTAGTTTGGCGATAAATAAAATACTCATCTGTACAAGTACTGGATTTACTGAATTAAATTGCCTTTTCTGAACATATTGTGAGCCGTGCCTTCATCTTGCATACAGTCTGAAAGACTATCTTTGCAATATATGTTCTCCCAGGTGGTAAGCAACATCAGTTGCCAGGCGCCACAAATCAAATCCTAATTAGGAGAATGCACAGGGAGTGCCCCCACACTCTGATGCCAAGACAGGAGAAGCAAACAAGGAAAGAAAGGTGGCAAGCCCTCCTGCTGCTCGCCAAGGTGTGCCACAAAGCCTTGCGACTCGACTGTGGCACTTTCTGAATGCATGATTACTGTCTATGGTTAACTCTCTGCAGGATAGCTCCAACCTTCTACAGTCTTTCAAAACTGAAGTTATGGCTTGTTCCCTAATGTCTTTTTGGTCTTTTTTCATAATAGTGCTTCCAAACCCTCCAGTGATCTTCTAGATCTTCAGCCCGACTTCACATCTACTACTGCACAAGCCACTTCAGCAGCTCCTGCCGGGGCAACTTCATGGGGAGGTAAAAACTTTCTGGTCATAGACTTTGAGAACCTTTTTCCAAGTAATGCCAGCTATGACTGCTGACTACATGATTTCTCTCCACCTAACTCACTGTGTCTTATTTTTCCTACTGATAAACTTCCCATACTTTTGCTGGGTAACAGCATTAGTATAAACCAGCCTGAGCTATTCGTCCAAAAGATGATTAATCCTAGTTTAGTGGGAGAGATTTCAGTGTATCTAAGAAAGGAGCGCTGATGATATGTCTGTATGTTGAAGAATCCTTCTTGGAACTAGCCAATGCAATGTGTCGCCTTGAGTGTTTAATTTATGTAGCGTTTGATTTTCTGACCTTTCATAAGAAGCAGTCACTTGCCATTACAGCATTGCTAATTTTATGGGATATCTTGAAAATCTGTGTTTAACCAGTTCCAAGCAGATCTCATGGCATGTGGAAATAGCAGCTGTGGCCAGGCTGGTAATAAAATGCCACTGCCATCAGTGGAGGCAGGACTCACCAGATCTTACCTCAGCACCACAGTGCCTCCTGGCAAAGATTTGGGCACTCACTCTGATTCAGTTGGTCAGTGGTAGCAGCTGTTTACTATCTTCTTGTCAGCTTCTGCAGAGTACTATGCATCTAGTGCCCTCCAAGAGAAACCTTCTCATGGCCAGAATTGTATTCCTGGTATCAGTCCCTGTGCTTGTATTCAAAACAAAGAATGGGGCAAGAACAGGTTAAATGAATTACAGAGGATTATAATACTAGGTGCTTGTTCTGCAACTTGAGTAACTTTCAGAAAAACAGATTGTCTCAAGATTTACCTAAGCAATGTCATGATTCAAGGTAAGCGTTCACTGCTTGTACAGATAGTTCTACAGGCTATCAAAGATCTCACATAAGTATCTGCATAAGACTTTGAAATGTATCACAATTGCAAGAAACTTTAAGCTCAGAGTAGTAGCCCTGAGGTAGTCATTTGTCTTTACCATTTTTGTTATTTCTGAACTGAAGTGAATGTCAGTGTTCCACATACAAGCATGTTTTGAAAGCTTTTACTCTGGCAAGTGTGCAGTGAATCAATCTATGACTAAATCCAAAGTGGTTCTCCATTTCTGCTAATCAGCATACCCATTAGGGTAATACATTTCTGGTCCTGAAATGTGGTCTCACTTTACATTTGACTTGCTCATAACAAAAGCACTATATCTCTAAGTATGTTGGGCTTTAATTTTCTCCTTCTGTAGAAGGAATGTGACATTTAAAACTCAAATGTCTTAAATTGTCATTAAATATGCAGTACTCTGGAACCATAGTGGAAAACTGCCAGAACTCAGAAAACCTTCTAAAACACAATGAGCCAGAGTGAATTGTCAATTTATCTATGTTGTAAGCCGTCCAGAGACGCAAGGCATACAAATGAGAGAGAGAGAGAGAGAGAGAGAGAGAGAGAGAGAGAGAGAGAGAGAGAGAGAGAATTTTACACTTGGAATAGATGGGAACATAAACACAAATGAAATGTGGACTTTAGATACCAATGGAAATTGTATTTTTGGATAGAGATTCATAATAGCACTGTTAGAAGTTCTATTGTTAGAACGGTTTCTTGCTTAATTACAAAATCACAATTTGAGTTCTATTCACACTGCTTCTGACAACTTTTAGTGAGGTAGCTCTAACAGTATGTGGTGAAAGCCACTAAAGAGTAACTTTTTTAAAGACTAGTATATCATGGGGTAAGTTTTTATGGGATATAGTCCACTTGAGAATAACATGGCTACCACTCTAGAAGTTGTTAACATAAAGAGCACTAAGTCACAAAGAGAGAGGAAATTCATCTATCCTGCGGCTTAATACATCTTATAAGTGGAATCCAGCCCATGAAAGTTTATTTTATAATAAATTCATTTGTTTGTAAGGTGCCACAATGCTCTTCATTGTTCTTTACTTCTAACAAGCATTTAGATTTTTAAGTATGAAAGTGGTTCCTGTTATTTTCTAATTCCTCCCCACAAACTTAGTTTCCCTGCTATGATAATGGCATGATTAGTAATACCACTGCAACTTCTGTCAGCATGTCTTATTCCTACCAAGTAAAGAAGATAGGTAGCTCCCTGCCCTGAGCAACTTGCACAATGTTTGTTACTGAAGCAAAACAATTTCCCCACTAATAATTTGGGGAATTATTGGCTAATGGGGAAGCGTAAAAGTCAAATAAATAAATAATACTGGATCATAAGATCATCAGAGAAAGATCATAAGACCTTTTCTAGATCATGAGAAAAGGCATGCTGGATCAGACCAGAGGTCCATCTAGTCCAGCTCTCCGTACACTTGCTTGCCCACAGGATCCCTCCATCATCATGGGAGCAAGACCTGTTCTTGCCCAGTTCCTCAGCAACTGAACCTGCACACACTTCAGCATCCTCCTCAGCAACTGCTGTGGGCAAACCTGTCAAGACTGTGCCGTTCAGGTCCTAGCCTATCCAGTGCAGCCAGCAGACAAGCATGGTGATCAAATAACTGGTCAATAGCCTCACTGGGGGACGGCCTGGATATGGAACTGCTCAGGATAGCAAACCTTGGGTTTCTTTTTAGCATTTGGTATTCCACATTATGTGACAGGCGGGCTGTGCTTCACTTGCTGTAAGCTCTGCAGCAGCACTTTATCTCTTTTCTCCCAGAAAGGCAGTGGAGTAGCTGCTGTAATGATACCTTGTTAACTTTTCTTTGCTTTTTAGAATGAGTTAGAATAGGTATAGGAAGCATGAATGAGTCAGGGGTGATGCTTGCTTTAGATACCAAATGAATAGATTCTGAATGAGCTCTCCTCCTGTTTCATTTCATGTGCCTGATGGATACTTCCACAGTACTTGGTGTGAGGGGAGGAAAAGGCAGATGTGGTTGGTTGGTTGCATGTTTTCTTCTCTGCATGTGCTGCCTTAGAAGGGCAAATGTAGAGGATGTCAGCCATTTGCAATTAAAGTAGAAAAAATGCTACCACCTCCACGTACACAGGGAACAAAAGTGCACATTTTCTTCTGTTACAGGTTTGATGAAAGCTAGTTCCTGAATATTTTTTCCACAATAAGTTTGGCCCTATCAGACAGGCAAAAATTAATTGTTCAGGGCATCATCACTTGTCTGAGTGGCTCAAATGTTGTCTCATGAACCTTCCCAAATGTGAGAAAAGAAAACTGATTAAACATTATACTACCTCTTCCACCAGTATCCTATGTGTACACAATGAATGGGAAGGATAAACCTTTCTTAGTATTATTTTGGTAATTCTGGCAGTTAGGATTCCATAAATATTGCCCAAGTGAGACTAATTTTAAAAATCATTAATGCATTTTTGCAGGGGTAGGTTATGGGTCTTCAATGGGTTGGCCAAGAATCTAGTTTCCGTCCCTTTATGAAGTGTAAAAGAACCTTCTTGCTCTGGAGTGCTACGACAGGCCACATTTCCTTTATAAAATACAAGTGAGGAAAGTTGCTAACCAGTAGGTTTCAAAAGATTTGCATAGCCATGGCTCCATGAAGACCTTCAAACTGCTGATTACAGTAGCTGGAAGGAGAGCCTTGTTTTTGCAGCAGTTTGTATGCTGGAAACATTTCCTTGAATATACACTTAACTGACGAAAATTCACATCCAAGTTACTTTTACAGTGAACTTTGTAAAAGGAAACTGCCTGAAGGCAGTGACTGAATGTGGGAAATGGAAATACTTGAGTTACTTAAAAGTTGCACTTTTGTTCATCTTAATTCAATTTCAGATCAAATAGTTGGTTTAAAGGGCCATTATTGGATTATGGAAGATAACACAGATGTAATATACCTGTCTGGATTCATTTATTCATGTCAGCTTTCTGGTTACACATCAAGTGGGCAAACACCCAGGTAGAGCAGGAAGTGCCTCTTTTGTATGGTATGTGTGTTAATATTCTGTCTTGCACCATACTGTGTCTTGCAGAAGTATTCACCCCACCACCTTTAACACCCTTTCTTCTGTTACAGCCCGGAAATGAAATGGCTTTAATCAGCTTGTTACCATTCAGCTTGATGTACACATGATGGTCAAACTTGTGAAAGAACAAAATATTTTTAATTGTGGCACAAACGTTAAGTCAACAAAAGCAAACTAGCACTTTCTGATTGCATAAATAGTATTCTACAATACTTAATAAAAGTATTGGCAGCTGTTGTTTCTGTTGCTATTTTCATTTCTATACTGTCCGACTGTAGTTCTGTAGACAGTTTACAATAGTCAATAAGAACGGATAATAACAGTACAATACAAATACAATGAAAATATGATAAAAATACAATACAAAAGTCATAAAACATCTAAAACAGACAATAACAAAAATTACTCTGTTCAATAATGTTTACTTTGTAAAATTTGGCAATCTCCTTCAAGCCCCTGGGTGGCCAAGCAAATCTTCAAAGGCCTTGGGAAAGAGGGCTGTCTTAACCTGGTGCTAAAAAGGTGGCAAATTTGGCAACAACCTGGTTGCTGTTGGAAGGGTTTTCCAGCTTCACGCATCTGGATCCCAGAGTGTTTGCTCATTCTTCTTGGCAAATGTGCCCTGGCTTTGTTGAATTGAATGGGAACCCTTGGTGAACAGTAATTTTCAAATCTTATCACAGATTCTTAATTGAATAGAGGCCACAGTGTCCACTCAACCATTCTAAGGCATTCAGGTTATTGTTTATGATTCCAGGTTATTTAAATGATTCCAGTGTTACTTTGGCTGCTTGTTTAGGGTTTCAGACCACCTAGAAGTAAATCTCAACCCCAGTTCCAGCTTCCCTGCAGACTCAAAGTTTTCTCTCAATTTTCCTTGAATTGGCTGCATCCATCTTGCCCTCAGTCTTAACCAATTGCCTAGTCCCTGCCAAGGAAGGGAATCCCCCAGACATGTTACGTTCACCATTGTGCTGCTCTGTGAAGGGCAGTGAGCACTGTTTGCTTTGTGCCACAGTGCTTTGCAGCAAGGCCAGAAAGTTCGACATTGGTGTCATCAGAACAGAGAACCCTTTCCTTCATTTGCTGTGGTTCCTGCATGTTTTTTTTTCCTGCAAATTCCAAATGTGTTTCAGCAGTGGCTTCTTCTCACCACTTTTCCATGAAACTCAGCTTTGTGGAACATCTGGGTGATAGGTGGCCCGTGGAGAGTTCTCTCATTCCAGCTCCTTCAGTATTACCACTGGCCTTTGAGTTGCTTCTCTGACTTATGCTGGATCACTGAGTTTTAATGGATGGGTTTTTCTAGGCAGAGCCATGGCTGAGTCATACTTTACCATTTGGTGATAATGGATTTCATGGTACTCCAAGGAATATTCATATTTTGCAATTTTTTAAAAAAATAACCTTCCTCAATTGGTGCTTCTGGAAAAGCTTATCCAGGAGTTACCAACTCCTTCATGATTTCTCATGGTCTTCCTGATGCTGTTTGTTTAGATATAGTATCCAAAAATGAGAGCACTTTATCTGAAATCATGTGGCACAGGTGGACTTCATTCTACTGCTTAAGTGGTTTTTGGTTTCACCAGAGCTTATTTAGGCAAGCCACAAGAAAAGGGTGAATACTTTATGCAGCCAGGAACTTCCAGTTGGTTTTTCTTTAACCAACTTTTGTACCACAAAAAAACATAGTTTAACCTTCACAGTGTTTACTATTTTCTATACATTATTATTATTTTATTATTATTATAACATTTCTATGCCGCCCCTTGCCGAAACCTCGGGGCGGCTTACAACATGATAAAATACATTGAAATACAATAGTACATAATAAATTACCATTAAATACAAAAATACAAAAAATACATTGATTTACAAATATAAAATTAACAGTATAAAATAAAAATATGGGAGGAGAAAGAGAAGGAAGAAGAAGTTGCCCTGGCCAGATCATATGTTTTAACAATTGAAATGATGTTTAAATAAAAAGGTCTTTACCTGGCGCCGAAAAACCAGTAACGACGGTGCCAGGCAGACCTCTTTGGGGAGTGAATTCCATAGGTTGGTCGCCACCGCAGAGAAAGCCCTCGTCCGGGTACTTACTCTCCTAATTTCTTTCATGGAGGGTTCCCGGAGAAGGGACTCTCCCGCAGATCTCAAAGGGCGGTCGGGCATATACGGACGTAAGCGCTCGTTCAGGTAGCCAGGACCCAAGCCGTTTAGGGCTTTGTAGGTCATAATCAACACCTTGAATTGGGCCCGGGCTTCAATGGGAAGCCAGTGAAGCTGATGGAGGACTGGAGTCATGTGAGCATAACGCCCCGTCCCCGTCAGCAACCTGGCAGCTCTATTTTGCACCAATTGAAGTGTTCGGACTGTCTTCAGGGGAAGCCCCACGTAAAGCGCGTTACAGAAATCTAGGTGGGAAGTCACGAGCGCGTGTGTCACCGTCGCCAGGCAGTCGTACTCCAGGTAGGGGCGCAGCTGATTAATCAGCCGAAGCTGAAGGAAGGCGTTCCTCGCTACCGCTGTCACCTGAGCTTCCAAAGAAAGCTTCGGGTCGAGGAGTACTCCTAAGCTGCGGACCTTATCCCTAAGAGGGAGTGTTGCACCATTCAGGACCAGGTCAAATCCACCCTCTCCGAAACCCGATCCGCCAACCAACAGGACATCAAGTGGTGACTGTACCAGTTAAATGCATATTTCAGTTCCAGGATGTTACACCAGAAAATGTGGAAAAGGCAAAGGCTTGTGAATACTTCTGCAAGGCACTGTAGGTTTTTGATCAACTCCATTCCAGAAAGTGCCAGAGGATCATGGATGGAAGGAACAGCTAATTTCTAGCAATTCTAGTGATAAAGTTGCATGAACAGGAATCACTTAAATTCATTGAAGTTGTCCAAATTGTTTGAAGGTTTTGCCTTGTTTGTATTCCTCAATGAAAGCATCTTTTTCCCATTGCAAAAAATAGTATTTTTTAGCATGCACATTTTTTTCCAACCAAAGTTATGCCCCCCCCCCAAGTGTATAAATGCAAATAGGGGTATTTCAAATGCAAAGAAAGGTTTGGAGAATTGCTACATTTCCTGAAAATTACATTGTTTGCATTTGGGATTGCAAATGGGCATGTGTGCATGCTTTGTGAAAAGGAACCCAATTCTTATCCATCTGTCTTCAGTAGCCTTCTGATGTCACAATAGCATTCCTGACAAGTAATGACATGGTAATTTCTTTTATCCCCAGACCATATTTGAATTATTTCAAAAGTTTTAAATGATGTAAAAGTGTTGCAAATGCACTTTAGTTTTATCTTTTATTTATTCATTCATACATTTTCAGATAAAATATTCAGGCTCTATTGGAAGTGTAATTGACTGAATGAAAAACTGCTTGTGATGAGATCAAATGTTTTTAGATTCCAAATGACTGGGTGGAGCAGCTGCATTAGGAAACAAGGAAAACAAACACATAAAGCCTTTTCCCCTTCCCAGAGAGCCTTCCCTATGCAGTCCTTCCTTTTTATTTTTTAGAGTTCCTAATGGTGGCTAGTGGCAAGACAGGATATTGTTGACACTGATCTAAAGAAATAATCTTCTGTACATAGATAAGTAAGTGTTAACAGCTTGTTGTTTGCTGCAAAGGAAGCTGGAAAAATAATTATAGTAAAGCTATGCAAGGTGGGGGAGAAAATCTTTTTACAGCAGTAATTTTGATAGTAGCAATTTAGGGCATAATCCTCTGAATGTTTTCACAGGATAAAGTCCTGTAGCTCCCAGCATGCTCCCCGCCAACCATGCTGGGTGCTGTAGGAGTTTTTTTCTGCCTAAACATGCATAGAATTGCGCCCTTAGTTCTTTAAGTATAACTTCCAGTACATAACTAACTGCTTGCCTGTGAATTGGTTAGTGAAATTGGGTATCTAAATTGGATAATTGTCATTTATTATATGTGCATATAGAAAGAGAAACTAGACAATGATTGCTTATATAAAATCACCAAATAATCACAGACTTCTGTTACTTTTCAGATTACACATGTCAAGTGCATTTGCTCAAAGATGTAACAGAAACAAATTAGGCAAATGTTATTTGGTTTCATGGCATGGACCAACAATTTTTTGGCTGGCAGGTGGGCAACACCTGGAAATAAGGTCCCACTGGCCTTGCCTCTGAACAGTGAAGGAAGGAATTGCCTGGGTGCCTTACCTGGCAGAAATCCCTCCTTGGGGGAGCTTGCTAGTCAGAGGGAAAACATGCTGGACATCTTCCTTGCAAGCCGCCGAACAGCCCCCGACCTTGGAGTTGGATGATGGGGTGGGATAGCTCTGAGCATCTCCTGTAATAACCCCTCTGTGGTGTCAAAGGTGTACATAGGAACAAGCTTATACTGATTCAGAGACTTGGTCCATCTAGCCCAGTACTGGCAACACTAACTGGCAAGGACTGTACAAGATTTCAGTCAGGATTTCGCCCCAGCGCCTGGAGATGCCAGGAATTGAATCTGTGGCCTTTTCATACACAGCAGGTGCTCTTCTGCTGAGCCATAGCCTCCCTGGGCCTGGGAGGAAGATCCCTCATGCTTACCATCCTCTCAATATGGCAAGCAAAAATATAGAAGCCTGTTCTGTATAATATAGAAGCTTTGGCAGGGGTGATCTGAAGCGCATAGAAGACCTGTAGAATTTGGTCCTTTCCTAAAAGAAGTATAATTCAGCTATTGTGGCTGTCAACTTGTCCAAACATGGGGTTGGTGTATCCTGTTGGAGATTTTCAAGTGGCTGAACCTCTGGGATTTCTGCAGATGAGGGTTTAAGGCAGGACTGTGGAGCCTCTTCCAACCCAAGGGCCGACTTCAGTTTCAGGGAAGCTTTCAGTTGCTGCATCCCAATTAAGGGTGGGGCCAGCATATGTATGTTATTATGTTTTATGCTGTTTTAAATCACTGTACACCGTTCTGAGAGCATCTGCTATAGAACAGTCTAGAAGGAGTTTAAATATACATATATAAAATGCAAGTGTGTTTTAACTAAAGGCCTTCACTGCTAGAAACTAAGCCCTTGGAGAAACTAGTCAGCCTTTTAGAAGGTGGGAAAACTGCACAAAAAGTGAAAAATCGTTTTAGCCAGATTAGAAAAGATGGACTTAGCTCTTGGGCCTGACTCAGGCTCTGCACCCTGCAAATACTGCTTTATTTGCAGAGCGGGGGAATATGAGGAGAAAAGATTGCATCAATATTCCGTCCATTGTCTTGTTTACAGTGTTGCTGTTTAAAATTCCATAACCTTTGCTGCCAATGGGAATGTGAATTATTGTGTCATTTCTTGATGAACTCTTTAATGGATTATAGCAGAGTGAAAGGTATTAATCTCCGATTTCCAATAGTGGCAAAGAATTAAAGGGCACATATTTGCTTATGGGAGAGTATCAAAGGAGTTCTGATTCTTTTAAAGGTGATTGTGTCTGGATGAAGCTGGGATGGAAATGCTGGGTTCAGAGAAGTCCTAGACACTTAAGAAGTCTTTGTTTTCGGGAGCATTGGAAAAGCAAAGCAGACTGCATCATATAGGTGAATGTGTATGGTACCTGTGGCATGTCTGGAATTGGAGCAGAGCAGCGTCCTGTTGCTTGAAATAGCCCCATATTCTCAGAGAATAGCTTCTGGATAGCATGCATGTTGAATCTGGCAGTTCTGTTAACTCTCTTGTTTCTTTACATTGCTACATTCTAATGGACAATGTTGCAGACCTCTTGGGAGAAGGTGAGTAAAGCTTAATATTTCCAGGTGAAATGCTTTAATATGCCACTAGCCTGGGCCTGCCTCTCTTTGCTTTTCGTTTTGTAATGTAGTAGTTTGTTTTTCTTCCTCTCTTGTGCTTACTGTTTCCATTTGATCTTCAAACATGGACACATGTAGACAGCCTGGCTGCACTTTCCGGTGTTACCTCTGAGCCACAGATTTCAGATCCCTTTGCTCCAGAACCCACACCAGCTCCTACTGCAGAATCTACTGAACTAGCAACTACTTCTGCTACGACTGCAACTGTTACTGCTACTCCTGCTGCTGAAGTGGATCTCTTTGGAGGTTAGTTTAGCCCCTTAATTACCCCCATTCCTTGACTCAAAACAAAAAAATAATACACATACACAGTTAAAGGAAAAGGAGAGAGATCATTGTTAAAGTCCATTATCTTACATTGCTTTATTTACAGAATTTATCATTTTTTAAAATACCTAATAGTTTGAGGAGAGCCCAATTCACATGTTAAGTTATTCAGGGGTGGAGCTGCTGTTGAGAGTAATTCCCAGGAAAACATTGTATGGGCCACATGGTGTATTTCATTAAATCGCATGGAAATCTGCAAATAACTCTGGGATAGGGTCTGGATATGTGCCTTGGAGACAGGGAGCTTAACCCATTCTCTTCCATGGTGTTTCTGACAAATTCATTCCTTCCCTAAAGCTGCTACTTAACACTAAGCTCCCATTGGCAGCCAGAATTTAGCAGCCGAACCAAATGAAATGGGCCCAATGCTTGAGTAGATATGAAGAGCTTGAACTTGCTTTCTTAGAGCATGGCACACTGAAACGGGTTACTCTAGCCATTTACTACAAGCGAGTATTTCATTGGATTCTTCTGTTCTGGGAGTCTACTACTGTGCTGTCAGTGTTCACTCCAGTGCAAGTTCTTGTAAGCTTCTCAAGTGAATGTGCTTGCACCACAGATAACAGAAGTATATCTGATAAAGCACTTTAGTGCAATATTCCAAGCCTAGTGAAGGGGGATGGGGCTGAGCCATCCTCTTTCCCCTGTTTGGGAAAAGAGTATAGTGTTATTTTACTAAACATGGACTTTTCCATTTACCAAAATGAACAAACAAAAAGCATATTGCACATGCAGCTTGGAGCTGATCAAGAGATTTCTTAGGAAAGCAAAGTTTGACCTATAGAACAGGTATTAAATTGTATCCTATTTCTAAAGGTCTCTTTCAGTACGTTAATGTGGCTTTTAAAAAAGCTCCCATTTTTCCTTATCAAAGTAAATTTTTTGACTGTAATGTTCTCAAACAGTTCTTGGACAACTGCCATACAGTTTGCCATAAGTAAAAAGCAACTCAGAAGAGTTCATTGATGAGAATACACAACATTAGCACAATGAGAACTTGCCAGACTCCATTTCCTGTCGCTCTTCTCTTGTTTTGCTCTGTAGTAGATCTTAATCCAGCTTTAGCTTGTTCTGTTGCAGTTCAGATGCATGTCAAAACAAGCTTCTTAGAATAGCTGGCCTCTGTATTTTTGATATGTGCATTGTTAACATGAAATTGCCCATATCTTAAGTTAAGAGCATGTAAAGCTTTCTGTTTAGAGACCATAACTTACAACATTTTTCTTTCAAGAGGGGTTGCATGGTATCTAGATTGATGTTTCTAGGTTGCAGCTGAGAACTTGGTTGTCTTTTTAAAGTTTCTATAACAATGGCTTGAGAACTTGGTTGTCTTTTTAAAGTTTCTATAACAATGGCTTCTTTAGTTTCTCCTCTTCTTCCCTCTTTCTCTGCCCTTCTTGTGTCTCATGTACTGGAGCAAGTAAGACTCTAACATTGCAGTGTAACAATATGCAGTAGGCAATGGGTGACAGTCCCATGAGGGAATAGCTGGAAACAGCTACAGCAGCTTCTTCCTTCACAAGGTTGCTTAGAGCAAGATTTCCATATAGTACCTCTTCCCCATTCCCCCCTTTAATGGGGACATGTCCAGGTGGCTTGAAGAGTAAGAACTGCAAATAGTAATCCAGTGCTTCAGAGTCCTGCACCACAAACTACATGGGATCTCTAGTGTACACTTTGCTTTAGTGAGCACTGCAAATGTGACTTCGTGTACTTTGTGCAAAGAGTTATACACTTTGCATGCTGTGCACAAGGAAGCAGCTAGCATTTTTGAGCATTCATGGACTTGATCCTGGTTCAGCTTGCTTCCTGTTCAGGGGCAAAGGTGGGAAAGAAGTCCAGCAAGCACAAGAAAACTGATTGTTTGGCCTGATCTTTGCACTGCTGCACTTACATGCACACACAACTACTGCCATTACCACTGGCTGAAGACTGTTAGGGACCAGCACCATAACTCTGTATAAACAAGAGTAGTTAGCTTACAGGCTATATCTTTCCATGTGTGGGCATAGCTGCAAATTGGCTGGTATGGAAAGTGTAGAAAAGGACTGGTTGACTGGTTACCTGCCCAAAGCGCAGGGGTGGAGTCTGAGCACATTGCACAACTCCTTTGAACCCACCGTTTTCAGTGTGAACAAAAGTCTGTTTCCAGCACTCCTAGCTGCCAGTAGGAAAATTAGTTAATTGGTGATATAGCAGAGGCAGGGTTCACAATGCCTTTATGGGCATCAGGAAGGGTGCCCATGGGCAGCACACTGCCTGTGCCCGTTCGAAATGGTTGCCTAATGCAGCTGCAATATTTGCCCCATTCATACTTCTCATGCACGAGATTTATCTTTTGCATACTGGGCACTTGAAGAATTAGAAATAATAAGAATGAGAAATAATTAAGTAATCATTTTCTAAACCTCAGCAAGTATAAACAATAAAATGCCGTCGACATCAAGTACTCAATATGCAAGGGTGGGCTACAGGAAGACATCTGGAAGGCCACAACTGCTATCAGCCCTAGCCAGCATAGTCAATTGTGGGGGGTGCTAGGTGCTGTATGCCAGAACATTTGGAGAGCCGCAGCTTAGCCAGCGTTGGCACATCAGCTTAAACCGGCTAATGCAGGCCCACCTGGCCTAGAGAATCTCACACTGCTTTTGCATGATCCTTGGGATATCATTGTGGGAAGTCTGAGACTGATTTCCATCACTGTACAAGGCACATGTACACACACCCCATGAGTCCCATTGTGTGTGTACGTCAGGTAGCAATGAGAAAAGTGATCAGACTGGTTAAGGCTGCATAACCATGCTGAGCAACTCAGAATGTTGTGTGAATCGCACAACCAGATGCTGTATGCCTGGCGCACTCTTTTTCTAGTAGTGTATTTCCTTAGGGGGTAGGACATCAGCAAAACTAACATCATCTTGCGGGTATATTCAGAACAAGAGGGCATTAATTTATTCTGATTGCTCTAAAGTCAGGATTGGTTATGAATAAAGTATGAATAGCCGAAGTCTGTTGGCCTAATTTAATTAGTGTACTTGAGGAAATGCTGAAAACCTAGTTAATGTTGGGATATATATGAGCGGGTTTACAGAATAGGAGATGTTAATATTCTAATTGCAAGTAGCTCATCATCATAATTGTACTGAAGGAGCCCATTAGTTTGGTTTCTTTTACCGTGTTTCTTTGGATGTTATGCAAGCATGCTGTTTCGAACCCTTATACAATGGACATCTTAACACCATTTCTATGCTTCCTATCTTGCCTGTACTCCAGGTTAGCGTTACTGCAGTCCTAGCAAGCATAAATACATTGGTTGTTCAAGCATTAAGATACTAGTTTTAAAATGGTTGATGTCTGCAAACAACAACAAACCATCTGAACTAAACCCAGAACACACCATTCTTCAGTTTGTATAAGGGAATCTTGTATGCCATCTAATCTAGTTCTTTTACTATATTTTCTTCTTTTTTATTCTTCTTAATTTCTTTTCCTAATACTGCACTCAAGATGCCTTTGCAGCTTCTCCTAGTGAAGCCCCTGCAGCACCTGAAGGGGCAGCAGCACCAGCTACCCCAACCCCTGTAGCCGCAGCTCTTGATGCATGTTCAGGAAATGGTGGGTTCCATCTCATTAGCTAGTCTGTCATTGTCGTGTGTTTTGTACTGATTAAAATAAACTACATGGCAGTATATTTGTCTTTTTCTTCTTAGTATTCTCCCAAGTATTTGGGCAGTAGTTCTATAAGTAAAAATCCAAAATATCTAGACACCAGAGCATGCATTAGGAAAATATTATTAACTTTCCCCCCACTAAAGCCTTTTTAAACTGAAAATTGCTAACAGTGCTAAATGTTGCATGTTACTTGGTGGGATTTTAGGACAATTGCTATCCTTCATCATACACTGGGGTTACTAAAATGTCAAAAAACCAGTTCCTCAATCAAGCAAAATACTTTACTGTAGGGGAGAGAAAAGAGCACTATATCTTTAATCCATCAGTATGATGCTGGAGAACAAGATTGGCTCTCGCTGTGGGTGTTTCTGTTTTGTGTGTATGCATAACTTAGTATATTTCTGTGTATGGTTTTAATCCACACTGTGCATGGTTTCTCCCAATCTCCTTCCCTACTGATCCCATGTATATATTCTGCCCTTTCCTTTTTACAAGACCCCTTTGCCCCATCAGAAGGCAGTGCAGAGGCTGCACCAGAGCTGGACCTCTTTGCTATGAAGCCAACCGAGACCAGCGTTCCTGTAGTTACCCCTACAACTAGTGCAGCCACTCCAGTTCCCGCAACTACTCCTACTCCAGCTGCTGTCGTGGCCCCTCCAGTCCCTGCTACAACTGTTACTACCACTGCCACTACCACTGCTACCACATCTGCTACTACCACTACTGCCACCACCTCTGCTCCTCCTCCTGCTCTAGATATCTTTGGTGGTAATTTGTTTTTAACTCTTTTTTTAATTGGAAAAAATGTTCCTGGGTGAATTGAACTCAGATGCACAGCATCTGTAAATAATCTTTTGCATGTATACTGTATGTGACAGTTATACTTACAAGGGAAAAAAAACTCCAGGTCGGAGCTGCAAAACTTCCAAGTCTAGTTTTCTAGAAATGAGTTAAAGACATGTATGTTCTTGATCTTAGATTTGTTTGATACCGCACCTGCTGATGTCCCTGCAGCACCTAAGCCAGATGTTGCTCCTAGTATAGACCTGTTTGGTACAGGTAATAAAGAATACTCTCCTTTTCCTTAATAATCCTAATGCCTTCCTCTCCTAACTGCTCTTCTGTTTGATCAGTGTGAAGTATAAACATCTTTCCCTATCTCCAATCTTCACTTATTTTCTGCTTCATTTTCCCTTGATCTCTGGAAGATGCTTTTTCTTCTCCACCAGCTGGAGCTTCTCCTGTACCTGAGACTTCTCTTACTGGTGATCTCTTATCTGGTGAGTGTTTGTTATTAGTCATCATTTTTCCCATGTGACTTACCATAACTTTTATAAAGTATATTTAAATGCAATTCTGGGTAAGGTTTTTTGCAATGAATTTTTAAAAATGAGTATCAATATTGAGTTGCTCTTTGAAGGTATCTCATGTATCTGAGCCAATTCAAACAGTAAAGTTTCTTGGGGGAGTTGGAAGAAGATTTCCTGATGACCACATTGTCATTCAGTCTTATCTCCTACACAGACACTTGATGACTCTGGCCATGGTGTTTCCACCTCTGTAAAATAGAGATTAGATATATTAGATACACATTGCTGCTACCCAGCCCATAAGACAGGACACAGGCAAGGATATTTGTAAGGAAAACCAAAAGCAGCAACCCTAAGCATGCTTGCTACAAACTTAAAACTTCATAGAACTTGCCTTTAAAAGTGATCATGCTTAAGATCACACTGCAAATGTTCTATAAAATAGTGGATTGACTTAGTAAATTTGAAGGTGCTTTCAGAAGGACTTACATATACAAATTGCTCCCTGAAAATAACAGTACTTTGGGGGTCAGAAAGCAGTGAGCCTCTATCAAAAGATGTTCCTTGTACAAGTTCACACACGCTTCCTATCCTCAGTACATAGCATGTAGAGCTATGCCAAGACTTGTAAGCTGGAGTTGGCCACAAACAGAATAGTTATCTTGCCATCAGTATCATTGTTCAATTTGCTGCTTTGATTTTGGTTTTGTTTGTGCTGGGTAATTAGAGCTGTTTGATGGGATATAATGTTATATTTATTTAGTTGTATCATCTGTTTTTAGCTTGCCTCTTCACTATAACTATAGTTTATGTTTTTTGCCTAAAGAATAGTATGCTAAAACCAGGAAAGCGCAAACGCGGATGAGTTTCCCCATTCTAACAACCTGAGTATAGTGGGGCTCCAGCTGGAAGCATGAATCTTTTCACTGTTACACTTTGCTCTTCTCTTTGCCCTTCTTGGCAAGGTGTCCAAATCTGATCTCTTGTTCTTGAGCTAAAACCCAAAAAGAGCAAAATGAAAAGTTTACAATTCATGGTCAATATCAGATGGAGCTGCTGTGGTTATACATTTGTTGAATGCAGCTATGCAATTGTTATGCAAGGGCAATGGTAGTGCAAGCTGACCTAACTGGCTTCCTCAGCCCCATGGCACTCGTACTGTCAGTGTTGCACTAGAGGTCATTTACTCTAGCACTGTTGCACAAGAGTGCTGGCCTGTTCAATACTGTTCATTATCTCTTAAATCCATTGCAATGCTGTGCACAGTTTTCGTCCTTCTCCAGAGATGCCAGAAGTGAAGACTTACCTTGCCTAGCACTTGGAAAAAAAATACTGCCGCACAGAAAACATCAGCTTGATCATGGAAACAAGCAGTGTCAGCTGAAACTAAATCCCCCTTCACACATTATCTCCATGCAGATACTCCATGTGATTAAAAAAGAGTAGGAATGCATACACCCTTAGCTTCATTCCATTCTACTTCACTCTCCCCCCCTGTATTTGCAGAGGCCTTTTCTTGCATTTGGAAGGGGTGTGTGATTGTGCTTTCCTGATCCTGTGAAGTATCTTTCTCCATAGATACAGCCAGCCTTGCCTTCAACCTTTTCTTAATGCATGAAAGTTGGGTATGGGCCATGAAACAGGTGGCCCCACCTTCTTTAACTGTTGGAGTCGCTCTGTATAAGTAACACAAAAAGAGTCTTACGCTACCCTGAATACTGACACACTTAGTGCTCCAGTTCAGATGTAACACAAAGCCATAGTTTAGTGTTACATGAACAAGTCTGCTCAAGTCTTGGGCTCATACTCCCCCCCCCCCACCAACACCACCCTGTTTCTTCTGCATGTGCTGGAGGAGAAGCTTCCTGTTTTCAATGACTAGGAGTTCCTCATCCCATCTGGATGTATGTGTGTATTGATTTATTAATTCCATTTTTGTGCTATCCAATAGCTGAAGCTATCTTCTATCCAAACTCTTGAAACTGCTGTTAGTTTAAATTCTGATAAGGTCAGACAAATCAGGATCATAAGCCACAGCACGATCCTGGCTTGTTTGAAATAACCAGAGTTTCCTGAGCTTGGAAGGAATGGAGAGCTCTGGTTAGTTTAGAGGTAGAATCTTTCAAGCTCCTCTTCTAGGATAGAAGGGAGGAGGTGGAGCATGCCAGCCTGAGGCCCAAGCAGAGACATTTGCATAAGGTCTTGAATAGATGCAAGAGAAATAGAAATGACCAGAGAACTATGTCTTGTCACAGCCAGATTCTGCTTATAATAGGCGTCTTTTAAAATATAGTATGAAGAACTATGTTTGGTGATTGCATGAAAAATGGTAGGAGGAACGTGTGCACAAGGGTGTCTCAAAAGTCCGTGTCTGCTTACCATACTGTCATGGATTCAAAGTAGTTGGGTCTCATCACTGCAGATGTGCCGATACTAAAATATATCATGCTTACTGCAGTGGATGCATTTGCAGCGCCTCCGTCCCTGCCCACTGCCTCCCCAGCTAAGGTGGACTCCGCAGGTGTGATTGACCTGTTTGGTGGTGGGTATTGCTCCTTCTCACCATTAGTGAACTTCGCATTTCATTTCCATTCCATTCCATTTTGCTTTGCTATTAGTTTAAAATTTCTTAATGTGTTTTTGTTTATGCAATGTTGACGGAATAAGCATTTTAAATGCTAATTATGAAGTGTTCGATTTTGTTGGTTGGTTGGTTGGTTTGGTCATTTGTCCTCATTTCATTAGCATTTCATGCATGGAATAGCTTTCTTGCTCAAGTAGCTGCATTATTACCTGTTTGCACTAGTGTATATTTGGATTGCTTTGCAGTGATGCTTCTGTGTGACATATTTCTCTTGCCTGCTAGCTAATGTTTACAAGCAGATGGTAATGAAGAGTGGTCGAGAGACTGTGTTCCCCATAGGAGTGGTATGCCATTTGGTTCCACTTTTGTGCATTTGAGTATAAGAGGGTAAACCTCTTGAGAAACATTTGGGCCTCTATGGGCTTCCTGTAATTACAGAATTTATTAGAAAATAGTTACTGCTTTAAATACTAAAACTTGTAGATAAGAGACACAACTGCAGTAAATGCTGAATCACAGGACATTATTTTATAACTTTTCTACCTAGAATGGGTGCTCTTTGTAACCTGCAACACTCCATAAAATACTTCCAAATTAATGACATATTAGCAACAGGGCAATATCATGCGCCATATGTATTTTTGTTGAGATACCAATTGTTTACAATATAATATTTCTTTTTTTATGGGTGAGGAGCAGAATTTCAGTTTAAATTGTAGAAACCTATCACTTGCACAAGAAGGTTGTAGTTATGAGGGCCTCTAGACCACAGGTGGCCAACCTGCAGGCCACATGCAGCTTTGATGCTTCTGTGCTGTTGTGCTGTACAAACAGAGAAACAGAGGAGCTAGCAAGAGAAAGGGGTGAGCGGGCAGCCAGGCATACTGCCATGGACCATGGTGCTTACAGCATTCCGGTTGGGGCCATGCTGTTTGGTTAGGAAAAAGATGGCCTCTTAGCACCCAGAGCAGCAGAAGAACAACCTCTTTCTCCTACAGGCTTTTCTGAAATTTGGGACCTATGGTAGGAAAGAATATCAGGTGATAGGGGTGGCAGTGTGTGAGTGAGTGAGAGAGAGAGAGAGAGAGAGAGAGAGAGATTATTCATTGCTTCATTTGGATATTTATAAATTGCCCCTCATCAAAAGATGGAGGAGTGGGAAAAATAAATAAATAAATACAACTACCAATGGTCATATAACCACAGAAAGTGGTAAAAATAATACAATGCAATAATAAAACAGCCGCATAATAAAAATTGTTCTCCTTAAAATCCCCAAACAAACAGAAAGGTTTTGCCTTGTCATTGAAATTAACTACAAGGATCAGAACCATCAAACCTGCATGAAGAAGCACTCCATAATCATGGGGCAATCACAGAAAAAGCCTGTTCCTGAGCTGAAACTCTTTGAGTTCCTCTTCAAGGGACACAGAGTAGACACAGGGTAGGGTAGAGTAGAGCAGAGCAGATCTCAGGGACTGGGTAGGTTCATTGGCATCCTAAGCTTTGTATGGATTTACACGTTAAAATCAGCACTTTGAATTTGATCCAAACACAAATTGGCAAGTCAGGACTTGTATGTTCACACTGACATATCCCAGTGAACTGTCTAGTCACTGATTTCTACAGCAGTTGCTGTCTACAAACCATATTCAAGGACAGCTCAAATTGGAGTAATCCACCTAAAAGTTACCAGAGCATTAACAATTGATGGAAGTCTACTCCTGTCCAAATAGAGTTGTAGCTAAGCTGTTAGCCAAAGCTTATAGAAGACCTTCTGCACCACAAAAGCCACTTTAACCTCCAGTGCTGATGTTGGGTCTAGGAGCACTTCCAAGTTTGTCCATCTGCCTCTTTGCGGGAGTATAACCTTATCCAGAGTTGACTGCTTTTTCTTCATCCAGAAGATGAGTCACCCACCAACGGATCTTCAGTCTTGTCTAAGCTGAGGCTTGTCAGCTTACTGACTCTCATCCAGTCCAGTGCAGGCTCCATGGAGCTGAGTGGTACCTCCAAAGCACCACCCTCTTGGAATGACCGTTCAGACAGGAGTGATACCACTGCAAAGCAGCATGTCCATTTTGGACAGCCACTGCAGAAGGATACCATGATTTAAGAAAGCAAGAACCCTGAACAAATCCTGTCTCAGATGGATACGTCTGCCCTCAGGCTTGGTGCTGGTGCTAGTGAATGCCAGGTCAGTCCAGCATAAACCAACTCTCATCCACAATTTAGTCATGGATAGAAAGGCTGACCTGGCTTGTATTACAGAGTCTTGGGTGGGAGAATTAGGAGGCATTACATGTACCTAGCCTTGCCTATCCAGGTACTCTGTGCAGCACCAGCCTCATTCTGACAGTCGAGAAGGGGAAGTGGCCATATCTACCAAATACAATCTCTCTCAAGGCTTCCTGTCCACTTGAAGATGGATCTAGAGCGTTTGCACCTTGTGGTGGGTGATCGAGACAGATTAGGGATTCTGTTGGTGTACCATGCACCCTTCTGCTCAACAGACTGATTCCTTGCCTGAGCTGCTGGAGATAGTCTTGGACTTTGGTGGTGAAGGCCCAAACCAAAATTTTGGTTCTGCAGGACTTCAGCTTCCATGCTTAGACTGCTTTATCCAGAGCAGTTCAGGACTTCATGGCCACCATGAAAACCTTGGGGCTGTCTCAGCATGTGATTGGCCCAACACAGGAAAAAGCTCACACTTTTGAGCTGTTCCTTTTTAAAAAAAAACTGGACAGAAAGATCTTGATCTGGAAGTGAGGGAGTTAACATCATCCCCTTTGTCATGGTGTGATCATTTCCTCATGTGTTTTAGTCTTGGATCTCTTCCCCCCTCTCTAAGGGTGGGGGAGCTATTGAAATGGTCTGGCTCCAGAGACTGAATGGATCTGGATGGATTCCTAAGGTCTGGGTGTGGGGTGGATTTCTGGCTGATATGACTGGCGTTCCTGCTCAAGCCTAGGTCTGCAGAAATGGCCTGAGCAGTTGACACAATTACACCAAAACATCCTTTCCCTAGCAGAGCGCAGTCAGTGCCATGGTATACCTCTTAGCTGCAAGCAATGAAGCAGGCTGGGAGCAAGCTGGAGCACAGGTGGAGAAAAATCCATGCCAAATCTATCAAACATGAGTAAAAGCTCATTATTGAGCCTAATTTGTGCTGGTGAAGGTTGTGAAGAAGTAGTTATTTTCTGCCAGCATCACATCCTCACAGTGTCACTCTGCAGAGCTATTTCAGATGGTTCGTGGCCTGTTAGATCTGTGCCCAAGTTAGATCTGGTCAAACCCTCGGTTGCCTAGTGTGATGAAACTGCACCACACTCTGCATGTAAAATCTTTCAAATCTGCCTCGAATTGGACTCCACAATTGATGATACTCCTGTAATGGAGGTGTCCGGTATACCATATTGTCTGATCTTGTTGGATGAGTCTCACTTGTTGGGGCTTGAGGACGCGGACGAATTTCAATTATGCCATGGAATTCTGTAAGGTTCCATTTTATTCCCTATGCTGTGTAACATCTGCATGAAACTGCTGCGAGAGGTCATCCAAAGGTTTGGGCTGAGGAGTCACCAGAATGCTGATGACACCTAGTTCTGCCTCTCATTTTCATCTAATCCAGGTGAGGTGGTGATGGTTCTAAACCAGTGTTAGAGCAGAGTAATGGACTGGATGAGAGCCAATAAATTGAAATTTAATCCAGATAAGATGGACGTGTTATTGGTAGGTGGTTCATTTGCCAGGTGAGTGATATTTGCCTTGTTCAGGATGGGATCAGGGTATGTAGCTTGAGAGTACTCCTTGACCCTGGGCTATCCCTGGAATTTCAGGTGGCTTTTGTAGCAAGGAGTGCTTTCTACCAGTGAAGGCTGGTCCATCAGCTGTATCCTTACCTGGATAGACAGAGCTTGGCAATGGTAACCCATGCACTAGTAACCTCCCATTTGGACTATTATAATGTACTCTGTGTGGGCCTAACCTCGAGGACAGTCTGGATACTTCAACTGGTAAAGAATAGAGCAGCCACAATACTGACTGGGACTGGCAGATGTGACCATATAATGCTGGTCCTATATCATTTCCACTGGCTCCCAAATGAAGTCCAGACCCCATTTAAGGTGTTGACAATGACATATAAAGCTCTAATCAGTTTAGGGTCTGGATATCTAACAGAACATCTTCTTACATGTACTCCTGCCTGGATCATAAGATCATTGGCAGAGGTGCTTAAAGGAAGAGAGGACTGTTGTTCATTCCAGTGCCAGACCAAAACCTCTTTATTTACTCAGTTTTTAAATGCTAGTTTTAATATATATATATAGTATTTTAAATAAAGTACTGTTCTCCTGGTTCTAATGTTTTAATTCTTTTGTACACCGTCTTGAGATGGTTTGAAAATATAAGTATAGGAAATGAATGAATGAATGAATGAATGAATGAATGAATGAATGAAATGGTTGCCCACTTTTGAGCCAGACTGCCATCCATTTGTTTCAGATCAGCAGCTGCAAGCTGCTAATTTGGTAAGGGATTTCCTATTGCTAAATTGAGCAGTAAAATGCATTCCACTCAAAGACACCTGGATTCTGTAGCAGACACAATGCTAAGTGGCTGTACAGGAGTGCAGTTACTGGAAATAAGTGCTATTTCACATGGTGAGACTTTCTTTAGACATGTATCGGATTTTACTGTGGGATTTTTCAAATCAAGCTCTTAGTATTTACCATTAAGTTGCTCCTATGTGCCTCAAAGCACTTAGTAAGCTGGTCATTGCTGTTGTCTTGCCAAGCCTTGAGCATAATCTTATCACTTCCTTGGATTTCTGATCAAATGTAGAAATGCAGCAACATTTATGAAGTGATTGCATGCAAGTTACCATGTCACCACTTTCCTTTGCTATCTTCTGGAAGGCCATCTGTGGTCAGCAACTGCTCTGCTTGAGGCCTTTCCCTTTCTGTGTTACTGTGAGCCATTCCTCTGCAGCCATGCAGAATTACATTTGTCGTGTCAGTTGTTCATGGTTGTCTTTTCACTCCCCAAACTGATAAATTAATATATTCATTGTTTAAATCCTCTTGCCTTTTATTGCTGCCTCATGGAAAAACCTGTAGATGCTTTTGGAAGTAGCGTACCTGAACCCCAACCTGCAACCCAAGCTGCTTCTAGCTCCTCCGCTTCTGCTGACCTTTTGGCTGGTAATGAGAAACAATTATGTTCGCTCCTGATAGGGGAGCACTGTTGGTTTTTTTGGTGTGGTTTTGGTTTTGGGGTATAACGCAATATTTCTGTACTTGGACACAAATATTGGACAACTGTTTACAGAAGCAGGCAGCCTTGCTTCATCTGCTGTGCGTGAAAGATATTTCTAAGCAGTACAGTATTTCTGTGTTCTCCTCAGCTGTTCTGGTTGCAGAAAATACTTCTGCAATGAACAGCTTTGCAGTTGCAGAATGATGATGGGGTATACATTTCTTTACACTTGGTCTACTGCATGTGGACAATAAGACACTTTCCAATATGGAGACAGATGCTTGACATCCTGCACTGACAAAGCTTGGATATTGTCCTGAGTCTCTTGGAGGAGTAACATCGAATTAAATAAAATAAGAAAAATGAGCAAAAAACATTTTCAGCTAGGTTGGATGACTCTGGTACACTACGTCAAGGATGCCTCCATGACAACAAGTATTTTATCTTGCAGGTTTGGTGCAAAAACACCCTCTCCTTTGGGCTCTGTTTGTACTTGGCCTTCTAAAATGCCATGCAGGAAATAGTTACCTACCATATATCAGTTTTCCATACTGCTCAATAGCAAAGCTTTTTATTCGTAATAATAATCCACAGAATTATTTATCCCTAATAATAATCAATAATTGCTTATTATTGCAATAATAAGCAATCTGTTTATATAGCAATTGCAATTTGATTTGCTCTTTTTACAATCCACGTGAATTTGGACTTCAGCAATGTAGAGGTGGAACCTTTAAAAGCACAAAAGCCTCATTGCCCAGCATATAAGGACAAACTATCTCTCACTTTAAGAATACACTTTAACTGTATTTGTACTATATTTATTTATTTGTGTGAGCCATCCCGAGGCTATATAGCAAAGGGACGGCATACAAAAACTTTAAATAATAAATAAATATTCTGTTCACTGTTAGTTCTTGAAGAATTTTGTGTTTTTCAGACTTGATGGTAATAAGACTGACTCTTTATTCTCTGTGTATCTTCTTTTGCATAGTAACCAAAAACCATAGTGCTTTCTCAGACCTTTTCTCTTTCTTGTTATACATCAGTCTTTCTTAAATCATAGTATATTAATATAATGAATGAAAAGGGGTGTGTGATTTAAAAGAATGAGGCGGGTTTTTCCCCAAATATAACTTTTAACAGTAATAGCAAATTAATTTCTGACCACCATACAAGTGAAGAGATTAATTATTTAGGAGTTAATATTTTAGAAGCAGAGTTCTTGAAAGACAGGAAAAGGAGTTTGAAACAAAAACATGAGGAATGTATTTAATATGTGGACACTTTCGCATGAGTATACATGTTCTGGAACAAAGAGGAGAATTGGTGCATGTAGTGCAGTAATTGGATAAGGAACATAAAATTCTTTATATTATTGCTGATAGCAGGAATATACTCCTTTCACTTTATTCCTTGCTTGAGATAGCTGTAAGCCATAAACAGTGTATGCATGGCAATACATGCGTTTTGCACAGGATTACTTAATTCCTAGAGTTGCTTTTATCTCTAGATAAAACTCTGCTAGAATTGAGTCAGAAATAACTTTTGAGTAGTCTGAGCAGTTGGCAGTAATATAAAGCAAGAGTGTATGAACACCTGGATTAAATTTTAGCTCAACTATGAACTATTCTAACGTTTTAAAGAAATCTGTAAGCTGCCTTTCTGGATGATATTCAGAGCTTTGAACTACAATACAACTGTATTGCAGCATGGGTACCTCTCCCAACTATAATATAACAGAGTTGGTAACAGTGCCTGCTTATAATTGTGATTGTTATGGGCTAGTACAAACATTATCCATAACCATAGCTTAATGTTTGGGTTGCAGATCATATCATTTTAGACAGTTCATCTAAGACTTGAGCATGAATGCTCAATGACTAATGACTTGCTCATTTCTCCCTCTTTCACTTGTTAAAGGCTTTGGAGGTTCTTTTATTGCACCGTCTCCATCACCTTCCCCTGTTACGCCAGCTCAGGCTAATATACTACAGCCCAACTTCGAAGCAGCCTTTGGAGCCTCTCCCTCCCCTTCCCCTGCTGGCAGTTCCTTTGATCCCTCAGGTGAGTCAAGGTTTTCCTGTGGATTTCCAGAACATGCTTCCCCTTCATTTCCAAAATGCAAGAATGATGTTCAAAAGGCATTGGGGTGTTGCTTGATACTACAGATACCTCCCTGTCTTGCATTCCTTTGAAATCAGTAAAAGTTGAGTATACTACTTCCAGTGTACAATTTGAAAAACAATTCTTCCTGTTCAATAATCAATCCTCTGTAGGGTTTCAACACGGATCAAATCAAAGTGTGCACGTCCTCTCTCTTTGCACGTGCTTTTTATGCATGCTCGTTTAAATTTTGCTCCTCTAAAATTGCAGCACTTCGTATTGTATACTCAGCATATGGATGTGTGGTTTCGCTATTATTGCTGAGCCTTTCCCAAGCATGCATGGCACCAAAAGTTAAATGTAACGGAGTTCCAGGGTATTCCTCCCTCGACACAAAGCTTAACTTTTCATCACTGCTCTGTCGTTTCTGTTTGTATCTCTTTCATTCTGTACTTCCATGCTGGGGCCTTGCTGCAAATTTGCAATTTGGGTGAGTTCTGCCACAGAATAAGTAAAAACCAAATAGTTTAGTATTGCTTTGCTTTATTTGATGCTTGCCAGAGCACAGTGCAATTATGCTTACTAACATTAGCATGCCATTGTAACGAGGTCTATTTACTATGTAATGTTGGTCTAGATTGCTACCTAATTAGAAGCAAAGGGGAATATCTGCTGATTTCTGGTATATTTTCCAAAGTTGATTGCTGAGTGGTAAAACTAAACCAGCCTATGTGCATATTGAATAATTTCCAGCATCCTTTTAAGCAACACTTCTTAAATAGAGCCACTGTATTGTAGTGATTGAATGTGGGACTGGGTCTCAGACAGTCTGGGTTCTAGTCTCCCCTCAGCCATTAAGTTCACTGGGTGACTTTGGTTGTTGTTGTGAGGATAAGACTGAGAGGAGGAAGATAACTATGTAAGCTGGCCTTTGTTCCTTGAAAGGAAAAACAGTAGGACATAATTGTAATAAATAAATATATCCATATCTCAGAGGCAAATTCTAGAATGGAGATACTTCTCTGATTTGAGAAAATGCTATTAAAGTTACTTTTCTAATGGACTTTGCAAGCATAAGGAGAGATATTTTTCAGACATCAGTCGTATTAATAGTGAGGGGTATATTCATACATCTGTCCCAGGAAAACTTATTTCAAGGTATCTTATTTGGCTTTCTTACTCTGACTTGCCTTGAGCATAAATTATATTTGTCTGCTTAAGAAAATATGCTCTGTGCTTATGAACACACATTCTGTCTGTCTCTATTGATGCATCATATTGCAGGAACTATTAGAACAATTCAAGAAGAATTTCCCATGACATGTGTTGATATCTGTTGGAGAGCCAGTGTGGTGTAGTGGTTAAGAGCATGGGATTGGGACTCAGGCAATCTGGGTTCGAGTCCCCGCTCAGCTATGGAGCCAACTGGATGACTTTGGGCCAGTCACAGACTCTCAGCCCAACCTACTTCACAGGGTTGTTGTTGTGGGGATAAGATGGAGGAGGGGATGTAAGCTGCCTTGAGCCCTTCATAGGAAAAAGGCAGGATATAAATCGAAAAATAAATAAATATCTGTTGGGTGTAGATAAGAGGACATACATGCTTGGTATAGAGTTAGTGAAAGGAGATATATTAAAAAACTCCCAGGTTTATCTGCTAACAGAAATGGTATTATTGCCATAGGGTATCCCTTATCTTTCTCTTTACCGTATCAGAAAGTAACAAAAAGCCATGAGAAGATTTTGTAGTATTTTCTGTGTAGTGGCATCATCTTGTATAAGAGTGTGTGCTGGAGGAGGGATTGTCTTTTTAAAACAGCCACACACACACTTTATCTTTAGTTTGGTATGATTTAAGGGGGTGTATCATCTGAAAAAAGGTTAAAATAGTGATTATTAAGGCATTTGTCTTGCTGCTTTAGAATATATTATGTTAAAGATTAGTGTATATTTCAATGTGTTAGGTAGAAACATGCATGTCTTTCATTGACATTACACTGATACTAAATCTGTGTGATAGTACCAAGAACTGCAGAGATGTGTATGTGTTCCACAGTTCATGGTTTGCCCATTTAGATGTCTGTTGACTCAGCATTACTTAAATGAAAGATGGTGCCCTAAACTACTGTTCCTCGTACACTTTCAGTGTTTGATGGCTTAGGTGACCTTCTTATGCCAACTATGATGCCATCTGGTCAACCTCTACCTGCTTCAGCTGCAGCCCCTAGTTCTTCAGCTGCAACCAAAGGCATTGGAAGTGATCTCGATTCCTCTCTCGCAAACTTAGTAGGAAGTAAGTTGGAAACATTTCTGGGCTTGAAATCCTTGAGGACTTCATTAAATATGCGTCTTTTCAGATTTGCTTTGTCTGTTTGTTAGCTATTGCAAGAGGATGTGTTTCTTCCCCTATAGGAAGACAAAGTGATTAGGTTTTCATTTACAATGTGACAGGAAATTCCTGTTCTCATACTGAATTTAGACTCAGAGGTGTGGCATTTTTATATTGCTGAGTTAGCTTATTGAATAATGGAAGCTTAGTATAGAACTTAGATGTTTTTCCCAAAAAAGTAGATAGGAAACTGTGTAATAATGCTCTGAATGAACTGATTTACATTTCTAAGAGGTACATTTAAAGTGAGTAATTCAGAAAATTAAATTTCTGTTTTCCTTAATAACTAACTGACACTATCTTAAAAGAAGCTTTGGCTCATAGTGTATTGCTTAGTTTGGTGTATATTTGGTTTCAGATTTAACAAGTGAAATAAATCAAGACCATATTTTTGCAGAAATATGCCCTTCAGTCCTGAGATCAAATAGGATTATGAAATTACTAGTATATCTATAGTTGAAGGGGACTGCAGGTGGCGCAGTGGTTTAAACCGCTGTGCTGCTGGGCTGGTTGATGGAAAGGTCGCCAGTTCGAATCTACACAACATTCATTAATAACATTCATTAACATTCATTAATAAGAGATTTCATTCTTCAGACATGTTGATGACTTAGATAGCAAGTAACTCTTAACTCTAACAACTAACAAAGCAGATGCTGATAGGGCATACTTATATGTCGAATGGGCAATTAATGAAGATTGATTTCATATTAAACACATTTTCAAATCACTTCTTCATCTTTGCAGATCTTGGAATTTCTGGTACCACATCAAAGAAGTAAGTAGTAAATGAAATCAAAGTTGGAAACTTGTGTAGATTTCAGTGTATGTGTATTTACAATACTGTTTTGATGTGTAATGCTTCTAGCATGATATTGTAGTCAGTGTTCTTAATATCTGGGTTCTCTAGAAATAGTCTACCAGTTATTATGTATTTCTTCAAATCCATTACAGTTGAACCTTGACTTTCATGGGATTAACTTTCATGGATTTGATTATTCGCAAGTTTGCCATCAATAATTAAATTGGAATCTTTTTGGAGTTTTGCGGCCTTGTCTTATACATGAGTTGCCTTATACACTGACTTTTATGGGGGGTTTTTTGTCTGAAATGTACTTCCAGGAAGTACATTTATATTGACATATTTATTTTATTTGTTTATTTAAAACACTTCTATGCCGCCCCCATCACAACAAAGCCTCGGGGCGGCTCACAACATAAATAAAACATATAAATATAACAATTAATTAAAATTTAAAACCCCGGTGACATCTCGGCTTAAAAAATTTAAAATCCTATAAATACAATAAATTAAGAATTAAAATAAGTTTTAAATAAAAAGCTCTTAGCCTGGCGCCAAAAAACAAATAGTGATGGCGCCAGGCGGACCTCTCTGGGGAGTGCATTCCATAGATATAAGACAACCCTTGAAACCAAAAATAGCAAAACAAGATTTGGGGATAGTCTTATAGGGGATAGTCTATGTTGTAAGCTGTCCTGAGATGCTGAGGCATGTGGGGATGGCATATAAAAGTTTTAAATAAATAAAATAAAAATAATAGCCAATATATACAGTAATAACTTGTGGAGCAAATGACCAGGAAATATGCTTCAGAAGGCAACAAATGCCAGAGAAACAGCTCAAAATATCAACCTTGTCTTATATGATGGTTGCCTAATATGCCAATATATACAGCATATCAAGGGAAAAAGGGATAAATAGTGAAGCAACTAACCAGTGGGCCCGGAGTTATACAGAGAAGAGAGACAGAAATGGAGGGAGGGAGAAAGAAGCAATGCAGTACTTGTACACATTATTAAGAGTTATGGCTTGGGGGGTGGGGTAGAGATCACGTTTTTTCCACTTTCATGAGGGTCCTGCCAATTACCCCTGCAAATGTGGAGAGTTGGCTGTACTTGCAAAAATGAAAAATTGAAATGGTCTTGTGAACAACATTCTGACACTAAATTTTTTAATTTCTGGGAGGTAACAGAAATTCATTGGACTTAGAATTTCTGAACAACTTTAGGCCAGTGGCAAATGTTGCTCTCCTGGGCAAAGTTGATCATCTGGTGGCTAACCAGATCTGGGCATTTGTAGTTGAGACTTTGTAGTTTATCTGGATACATTACAAAGTTCAGGACAGATTTTGGGTATAGGAACCCTATATGATGATCTATGTTGAGAGACTGCCAGAGTGTGACTCCATTAATATTAATTGATCTTTCAGTAATTTTCCGTACCATTAACCATCAGTGCCTTGCAGTGGTTCTGCTTTTACTTGGATGATCAGCTTCTGGAGGTGGTGCTTGGGATGTATTGCTTGGCCCCATGGATTCTCTAGCATGGGGTTTCTCAGGGGTCATGCTGTTCAGCACCTACATGGAACTGCTGAGTGTGGTTATCCTACCTTTCGGAGTCCATTGCTATCAGTACACTGAGCACACTCAGCTCTGTTTCCCCTTTTAATCTCCAGCTAATGCAACTATGGCTGTATTAAAGTAGTACCTGGCTGAGACAGTGGACTGGATGAGGGCTAATAAACTAAAGCTCAAGCCAGATAATACTGAGATGTTACGAATGGGTGGTTCTTCTGACCAAATGGAGGGTGTTCAACATGTTCTGATTGGGGTTGCAGTCCCCTTGGAGGTTTGTAGCCTGGGGCCCACCTTGAACCACTGCTGTCACTTCAGGCACAAGTGGCCTCTGTGACATGTGGTTCCTTTTACCAGCTTTAGCTGATGGCCCAGCTTTCCCCAGTATTGATTGATTGATTGATTTATATCCCGCCTTTTTCCTCAAAGGGCTCAAGGCAGCTTACATCATTCTCCTCGTCCATCTTATCCCCACAACAACAACCCTGTGAGTTAGGTTGGGCTGAGAGTCTGTGACTGGCCCAAAGTCACCCAGCTGGCTCCATGGCTGAGCGGGGACTAGAACCCAGGTCAGGGATAACCTGGTTTCAGTAATCTATGCTTGGGTAACCTATTGGATTACTCCAGGGCAGTGATGGCGAACCTTTTAAAGACCGAGTGCCCAAACTGCAACCCAAAACCCACTTATTCATTGCAAAGTGCTAACACTGCAATAAAACCTGAATACTGAAGTTTTAGTTTAGAAAAAACAACTCACAGCCAGTCCAAGCAAATATCTATCTATCTATCTATCTATCTATCTATCTATCTATCTATCTATCTCCTTGGCACCGGCCATGCAGTGGCTAATGAGTTGCAGCTCATGACATCATCGCCTGGCACAGCTACTCCTTTCCGAGCATGCGCATGGCCCGTATGTACGCTGTTATCCAATGCTCGGCTGTTGGGCCAATGCTGGGGCGACATGGCTCATGTGCCGACGGAGAGGGCTCTGTGTGCCCACTGCGACACATGTGCCATAAGTTCGGCACCACTGTTCTAGGGCAATCTGTTCATTGATTTCTTAGAGACATTTACCGACCCAGAAAATTGCTTAGCGTATGGAATGCCAGGGTGGTGTAGCGATTAAGAGCCTGGGACTGGGACTCAGATGATCTGGGTTTTAGTCACCGCTCAGCCATGGAGCCAGCTGGGTGACTTTGAGCCAGTCACAGACTCTCAGACCAACCTGTTTCACAGGGTTGTTGTGTGGATAAGAATGAGGAGAATGATGTCAGTCATTCTGAGTTCTTATAATGTAAAAATGCAGAATATAAATTGAATAAATAAATATTAAATACATAAATATCTCCAAGGACTTGCCTGGTTTTGCCATTGGATGTATACTTCTGCAGTTTTGTGGGGGGGGGGGCTGCTCCTGAAGCTTCCTCTGTGACGTGAGGACAAGGTGGCTCCAATGTAACACAGTGTCTTTGACCAGCTTCAATTGGTGGCCCACCTACAACCTGTATGGGCAAGAGATAACCTGACTCCAGTAGTCTACGTTCTGGTAACTGCCAAGTTAGATTATTGCAATATGCATTATATGGGGCTGCCCCTATAGCACGGGTCCTCAAATTACAGCCCGGGGGCTGGATCTGGCCCACCATGGCCATTTATCCAGCCCACCTCAGAGGTTTTCAATGTGCCACGCGTGCGGCCTCGGTGGCAGCTTGCTCGCAAGATCATTTTGCACTCACTCGGAGAAAACCATCTCCAAGCAAGCAAGTTGCTCCATCATGCCCCCGCTGCTGCATCGTGGCACGTGTCCGCCCCCGCCTTGCCTCCGCTGCCCTCGTCACACCTGCGCGCACTGCCCCCCCGCCTCAGTGTGTGCGCCCCACCCACTCCCGCGCCGGCCCGCACACCCCACCGGCACCACCTTCCCGGCCCACACCCCGCACCAGCACCTTTCAACTGGCCCCCTGGTGAAAAAGTTTGAGGACCCCTGCCCTATAGACTGGAGAAGCCGCATCTTGTTCCAAATGTGGGAGCCAGATTAATAACTCAGACCAGAAGAACTGAACATACAAGACAAATTCTGGCCCATTTGCACTGGCTGCCTCTGTGTTTCAAGACCACTTCAAGGTACTAGTTTTAACCTATAAAGCCCAGGTGTCTCACGACTACAATACCTGACCAAATGCTTCTCCTGACTTAATTGATTCAGGCACTACAATCTACATCTGAGGCATTCCTCTGCTTCCAGTCTTCTTGGTACCAGGTTAATAGGGTCCTCTAGTGGCATATGATTGGATATGTCTGCAGTTTAAGAGCTTTATTTATTTATTTCCATTTCTATGCCATCCCACAACCTGAAGATTCTCTGGGCGGTTTTACTGAAATTGCTTTAGCTGTTTTAAATTTTGTATATTGACATTTTAAGCTGTGTTTTATGGTATGTATATTTTATGCTGTGTATTTTGTTTCTGTGTTTTGTATTTTGAGGATTGCTGTGAACAGGCCAGGGAGTTCAGCTATTAGGTACTATAGAAATTAAGTAATTATTATAATACAGCATAACTGAATAGTAATATTTCTTTCAGAGTTTAACATTTGAAAGAAGTAGGCATTGTTTTACCTTACCCTGCACAGAGGAGAAGACCAAAATTTTCCATTCCATTTGCAATGTGTAATAGTCAGTAGTAAATAAACTTAAACTTTGTAGTAAGGTTCCAATTCCAAAATAAGGTTCCGATTCCAAAAGAACTGATCCAGTTCTGCCCCAGATTAATAGTAACATTCTCTGTTGTTGCCTGTCTTAGGGGAGACCTTCAGTGGAATGCAGGAGAGAAGAAGTTAACAGGAGGAGCCAACTGGCAACCAAAAGTAGCACCTGCAACATGGTCAACTGGCGTTCCTCCAAGTGGCCCATTGGTGCGTTGTGTTACTGAATGTTTTATATTTATGGAGTATTACATATTGTCAGATGTATGCAATTGATACAGTGCATATGAGTGTGGATATGAGAGATATAGCATACATTGCATAGGTGATATATTGGGAAACTAAGATTGCACCAATAAATTCTGCAACAAGCAAGAGTTTTGTCTTCTTAGAAACATTAGTCTTTTAGCTTAACTGCGCAAAACCTGATGTCTATTTTCACAATGTTAGAAAGTGTTTTTAGGAAATGGGTATCCCATCCTGCTATTGTTTAAATTAGTTTATTATCTTATGTTTTAGCAGAATAACACTTCCTTAGTCCTCAACTGACAGTCTGTTTTGAATTTATGTTTATTGTGCCATTAGTGTAACTTCTCATAAGCACTTCTTTTCAAGGTTTGGCTGTTGCTACAGCTAATGATAATATGAAACATGGTCAGCTACTACAAATGGTAAAACTATGTGCAAGTTTTGCCTGTGATTAAATGTAGTAGTTCAAATAAAAATACTCATGCAATTGAGTATAGTGTTCTCTTGTACAACTTGATTATCTTTCAGCAAAGAAAAAAAGTGGTATCCAATGAGGCACTGATATTTTGTGGTACACTGGTGCCCTTTTGCAAGCTGTGCTGTCAGCACTTGTGTAACAGAATTTAGTTCTTCTGGGAGCAACCCAAAATGAGTGGCAACAGTCATTCCTGTAATGGGGCATTAGAACTCATATAAGGTAGTTCCACTGACCAATTCCAATCCAGATATGAGTGTTTCTACTCATGATAGAGTCTCTCTAGCAAACACTCAAACTTCATTTTGTAAGCCATGGATCCTGCTCGCACGGTGGAATTGGTGTGAGAAGAGAATTGAGGTACACTATTCTGAAAAAGTTGCATGCTTTGAATATATAACTCAGTTTTTAATTATTTTTTTCCTTACCAGAAAAGTTGGACGGTTTTTCTTTATGTAAGTAGCCTTTCAGTATAAAGGCTTACTAACTAAGACACTTGGCTACTAAACTAATAAAAATGGGACCATTCTCTGTCTTTACAACTGGCTTAAGGCTGGCTAAACTTTCAGTGCTGTTGGTTTTTACATGTATTGGATGAAGTAATATTACAGTCCCTTTTAGACATTGTAAAAGGATATTCATGCTTTTAATACAGTGGAAGAGAACAACTGGAATGTTCACTAATCTGTTTCCATGTTAATTTAACTTACTTATATTTTAACTCCTTACAAACAAATTAGGCTGTAACCCTACATCTGCTTATCTGGAAGTAATCCCCACTGCATTCATTTGGGTTTACTACTGAATATAAATGCCAATGATTGTGCTATTGCAGTATTAAACTGAAAAATCAGACAAGTGGTTGGATTCAGATTAATTGCAGATAGTGCCTGTTGAAATCAATAGGACTCAAGTTATTCCCAACTTGTCATTTTTTAATATTTTAGACTAAACAAGTTTATGAAAATATATAATCATATATTTTAATTTTCATGTTATAATGGTCATGTTATTGATACAATTCTTGAGTTGACTAAAAACATTTTATAAAATAATTATAAAAATGAGTCTGAATTCAACCCAATGTGTGTAATTAAGCATGCTTTGACAATGGTTTTGATTGTTTGTATTTGTCTGCAGAACATAGAAGTAAAACATGCAGTTGGAAAGCCAAGTTGGCATGGGGCTTAATGTGGAATGTGACTTCAAATAAACCTTAGCTCATTTAGAAGTGGCAATGCTCTGAGCCACTTCTTTGCCTTGATGGTACATGCATTGATTCTCTTGCCACCATCAGCAATTCTGCAAGGCATACAGAGCCTATGTGCCTTTGATGTGCACCAGATAAGTTCAAATAAATACGGAGAGATTGGGAGCAAGGCCATTCCAGATACCTCTACCTCCCAGTTCAGCACATGCATGAAATGGTGAAAAGGTCCAGATGAATGTCTCAGATGAATATGCCTTTTAATTGTCATAGTTAATGCTTTGATCCAGAAACTGTTAGGTTTATAGCTGGTGAATCTAGTGCTCAAGTGAGAACAAGTCTACTGCATTGAAACTCTGTTACACACCTGCAACTCTTGGTGTAGAGAGGAGCTGCTGGAGTTTGTCCAGTGCTAGGGAACATCATACCCAATAACACTGTCCTTGAGGAGCTTTCTTTGGACTTAATTGGCCAGCAGCTGAGTTGTCTTGAAAATTTCTGGAACTACCTAGAGTCCTATATGAATCTTGACATGTTGCATAATGTTTGATCATGCAGTCAGTAGAAAAAATAAGTTTCCAAGTGGCTGTGTGTGAGATAGAAAGAATAACTAACAAAACTAAATGTTTTCCACATTAGGTATTGGTGTGCAGAACAGGTCTAGGTGTGTCACAACATCTGACAAACTGAAGGGTGCGATCCTATGCACGTGTAGACAAAAAATGTCTCACAGTTCCCAATGTCCTCTAGCCAGCTTGGCTGTCTGGAGGAATGCTGATAGCTGAAGGGCTTTTTCTGCCTAAAACATGCATTGGATTGTCCACTAAGTTGGTTATTTGCAGCATGATAGCATATAACAAAATTCATTTGTTTTACATTAACTTTGGCAGAATAAGAACATGGGAAAATCAACTTTGGTATTGGGTGTTGAACAATAACTTTATTCTGAAATTAAGCTCCAGGGCTTTTAACAGTATCATACCCCATAGAAGTTCTAATCAGTTGGTGGTGTGTTGATTATTTTGGTTCCTAGACAGGATCCGTGCCTCCAGCAGGTGCCGTTCCGCCTACATCAGGTGCTGCTCCTGCACAGCCTGGATCAGGATTTGGAATGGTGAGTGAAACATTTCAACTAATAGCAGTTTTCTGCTTGCCTTTTTAGAAATAACTGACCGAGCATAATGCCAGGAAGGATGACCACCACCTGCCACTTCTCCCATTGACCTTTGCTTCCTTTTAGAGTTACTTCTCACCAAGACATTATATCTTGCCCTTAAAAACAGTAGTCAGCAATTCCACAATGGGAAAAACAGAAGTCACCTATTATTTATATGCAAGTTTGTGTAAGTTGGCTAGTTTACACTGGAAAGGACTGGAAAGAATAAAAGACTGTGCAGCTACTTGAGCTTTGTCCCATCAGCTGGAAGCCACCATCCCGTGCCCAGTACATGCTGCTTCTGAGATTTCTTTGAGAATGTCCCACACTTTGAGGCTTATCTTTGGAATCCTGGGGGAGCTACAAGCATGTTCTTTTCAGACAGGGAGTCTCTGACAGCAAGAAATTTTCTTCTTGCTACTGTAGAATACAAATGCCAACTGCAGGGCTTTGCCAGCCCATAATATAAGTTAATGCATTCTAGTTGAAGAGGCTGTAGAGGGGGATGGAATTAATTCTCAGACAATTCCCGTCTGAACTCTGATGCACGAATCAGATTGTGCCTTCCCAAAAGGATGTAGCACTGCAGTGCCAGCTTTGCAAAGATAGATAAGGCAAAGACTCCTCTTGTTTATAATGCACATGCCATTAATCCTTCTCACATGCTTTTCAGCAGCCTCCAGGAGCTGGTGTCCCAATGATGCCACAGCAACCTGTCATGTATGGACAGCCTATGATGAGACCACCATTTGGAGCAGCTGCAGGACCTGGTGCACAAGTAAGAGTGAACCATTTCCTCTCGACAGTTCAAACAAATATAAAGCATAAGGTTATTTGACTTGAACCCTCTGATGTTGCCGTACAGCCCTCTGTATTATCGGCAATTACCTTTTTCAGCCAATTGGGACATTTGAAATAATAATCATAAACATACAAGTACATATTACAGGTACAGGAAGTCCACTACATATGAACCTTCGAATTGTGAACTTTCAAAGATGCAAATGTGTATTTGCATGTCCAATCACATAAGTTTTTTTTTTCTTTTTAACTGTAAGTTCTCCTACCTCCACCCTAAAGATAATCGAGCATTTCTCTGAGAGAATTAGCCGCCTCTCCCTGCTCAGGAAAACATGCCGCATTTCTTGTGAAGATTGAAGTGTAGAGAGCGGTTTCTCCCCTTGTTGAAATGAGAGTTGGAGGCTGCTGTTTGCCCATGCAAAATGAACAGGCCTGTCTTAGCAGCACCAGCACGGGCTTCTCTGAACAAGTGGCTTCACGGTCGCTGAAAATTTGGTTCCAGAGAGGAGATGGTAGCAGTAAAAGAAAGCACCTTTGCACGCAGCTCCCGAATGGTCAGGAGAAATGAAATGAGGGGAGAACATGGATGGGAGAGAGGTTGCGTCTGCTTAATCCCCATTGCATCTTAATTTTGCTTGTATTAGGGTCCTAATATTTATCATTCCATTATTCTAATGCTCACTCCTTCACTCCTTTTTTGCTTTGTGTATCTTTCTCTGTTAAGCTTTCTCCAAGTCCTACACCAGCCACTCAGAGTCCCAAGAAACCTCCAACAAAGGACCCATTAGCAGATCTTAACATCAAAGATTTCTTATGAACTATTTAAGGTATGGAATTCCCTCTTACATTCTTCACTTGTAATATAGCCAACCTTACTCACACTCTGGTATTTCACAGTTGACTATTTAAAGTTCATTCTAGTTTGGAAGGTTTTAGTACTCTCCTGAATTTCCTTGAGGTTTTTTTATTATTTTTTTTGCTGCAAAAGTGATGTTAAAGTGCATATGACAATGCTCATTAATGAAATCACACCTTCCTTTCTCCTTTCATACATTTTTCTACACCTGGACAACCATTGTTACCCTGTGCACTTTGCTTTCTCATGGTAGGATATAACTCTAGATGAGTCTTATGGCTAAGGGAGCAGCATCTAAGTCTAAAAATAATAATGTGCATTCCATTGGAAGTACTCTTCTGTGGATCTTGTAGCTCTCTGCAGCATTACCTTCAGCCTGGGTACCTCAGTAATGGTACTATGTATCTCTTTCTAGATGTTAACATGATTGTTTTCAAACCAAAAGTGCATTATAGACAACACAAAAGCCGCACTAAGGCAAGAGTCTCAGCATAAGCCAGTAGCTGCTAAAGATTAAAAGACCTGGGCAGATAAGCAGGTCTTGATCTGTGGCTGAAAAAGTAGTCAAACTTGACTCCAACTGCCATTTTTTTCTGCCCCATTGCTGAAAAAGCACAGAGGGTTGTTCTTTGCACATACAAATACCTGCATGAACCGTCTGTAATGCATATGAAATTGTGACCATGTTGGCAATTCCCCAAGTTCTTTTTCACAACATGAACAGGATCTTCAACCTGGATAAGTATCTTACCCAGATGTTGTTCACAGAGGGAGAAGTGTAATCATGAACGTGTGTGAGGCCCCTCTATAGATATATTTGTTATTTATTATAATACTTTTGACCACTTGATATATTATAATCCTTTACAGTTCATTATAAAATACAAGGAAACAAGATAAAACACGAAGCAGCATAAGCAGTAGAACAGATTAGTAACAGAATCTTACTAATGACAGGGAAGCCTGTGTGAACAAAAAGCCTGTGTTTTCAAGAGGGCTTAAAACTTTTCCAGCTTCACATGGGGAGAGTCTTCCAAATGATGGGGCCACCCCCAAGGAGGCCTGCTTACAAGCAGTGCCTGGAAATGTTCCATTGCCCTCACAATCACTAATAAGGTGTTTTCAGAAGAGATCGGGGTTAACTTGCTTTGTACATGTGTGTGCGTGTGTGTTAATTTTTATTGTGAGTTTCAAACATCAAAGCCAAATTAAAAAGTGTTTCAATTTAAAAACAAAATTTGAGTGATTCTGAATGCGAGTATGCATGTATGTGTATAGTATGTGTGCATGCATATTTGAGTTGGCCATCTTGTGGAAAAAAGTATTTTAAACAGCCAATGGAAATAAAGATGCATTTCTGCCTAGTACATGCACTTCTCCATCTTCTAGCCCAGATTTCCATAACCTGGTGCTCTTCAGGTGTTTTAAACTTCAAGTCCCATCAGCCTGAAGCACCATGGCTATCATAATGGACTATGTAAGCTGTCATCTAAGACCTGAGAGGACACCAGGTTGGAGAAGGTTGTTGTAAGCCTTCTGACTAGTCATATCATGAAACTAAGTTCAAATACCCGTCATTTGCTCTCTCCAATTATTTTTTCTTCTTTTCACAACGCTAGTTTTCTGACAGGATAACCGAAGATGCAAGTTTGGAATCTACAAACAAGAATTTTGCCGCTCAGAGTTTCCAAGTGAGCCACGATGACCAAACCCAGTGATTACTCAGACTTCTCTCCTAATTCCAAAACGTGTAGCACAGCTGTGAAAGTGAACCTTAGGAATGTGTACTCTCTTAGTTGTTATCCCTCTCTCTCTCTCTCTCTCTCTCGCTCTCTCTCTCTCAGTTTGTGTACTTGCATTATTATTTATGTGTTTTACAACTTAAACATTGGATGTATGTTTCTGATGCCTTCTTAGTGCTTTTCTGAACCTATCCAATAGGGACAGATTACGCAGCTGTTGTGTGGTGAGCCATTTGGAGCGATGTGTCTGTGTTTCTGGAGGTCTCGATGTAAATAACTTTGGCAAACCTTCTAAAAGTTTCCCTCTCAAATCCAGTTTCTCATGTATATCTGTTATACCAAACGATCATGTGATGATATTGGTTAGTAACAAAAGCACTCTGAATCCTACAAACGCTCTTCATGTGGAATACATTTTTCTCCCAATGCAGGATTCTCAATTTGTTGTGGGATGTTTTATTTTTGTGGCACTGTACATGTTACATTAAATTATAATTTAAAGTAATATAAAGCAAAACTCCCTTTTAACATGTCTTCTATCAAGTTGCTTTGTGAACAATTATACCCTTCTTGGGGGAAAAAAACCTTAACATGTTTCTTTTAAAAATATTTGTGGATCTTTTATTTTCATTTTAAGAACAGCTTATTTATCGGCTCTTGCTTTAAATGCACTGAAGATAAGTAAAGGGTGTGTTTATTTCCATGTAGCTGGGAAAAAACAGCTGTAGAAAGGCAGACATGGTGAGAATTGTCAGACTGACCAGGCGTGTTGATTATCAAGGCTAATCAGTGTGACTGGCAAATCATGGAAAACCTATTTGTATTTTTTATCCAGCCTTTACCTAAATCTGTTAGTTTGGTGCTTCTATGTATATGCCTTAGACTAGTGTTCTTCCATCCCCATACAGCACTGTATTTTCCATCTGTGATTAGAAGCCACACTAAACTGGAGAACTGCACCCTTTACTGTAAGCAACAAACATGTTCTTTGAACATTTTAGTTCCTTCCCTCATACTGTTTGTGCTGATGGCTTGGCTTAAGATTTTGATTCCTTAATAAGGTCACTGTTGATCAGTGTTACAAGTGGCTTGGCAGCTCTTTGTAAAAGCATATTAGGTTGGAAAGATGTTCACCTGAGTCTTTCAAATTAACTATTTAATCAATATATGGTACCATTTTTAAAAAGTGGCTGTATCTGAATTTGTTGTGGGGATAACATACACTGTAATGACAGAGAGTTAGAGAGAGAATTTCAAAGTGGGTTTTCTTTGTATTTTGGTTTGAGAAAAACCCAGTGCATGTATACCCTCTGAGATGCAATAAAACACCTTGATCAAAGTAAGTTCAAACACAAAAGTCGTCTCCTTTAATTTCATAAGCAGTTGCCCAGAATGAGCGATGTTGTGCCTATAATAGGAATAAAATAGCTGCAGGACAGATTTGATGTTCTTGATCAAAGCTGTGGATATTCTGCTGTTTGGTTCTAAAACTGAGTTAAGTCTGATCCAACATACATCAAATTTTCATCCTAATTGTCTCATGTTTTAATTATGGTTAGAGAATTCTCTGAATTGCTGTCAAAAATGCTATGATTGTCAGTGCGATCATATGGACTTTTACACAGGATTTCTACTGAGGTGTTTCTGTGTTGCACTAAGTCAGGATGGGTTGGTTGTTCACTGACAGTCCAGCTTGTTCTCCCGGGCTTCTTCCTCAGCCCTTCCGCTGGCTCCCACAGGTATCCCAACTGCCTTTGCAGCAGGATCTGTCTTGTCTCCTTGCAGCAGCCCACTTTTGTTTGCCACCCCTTTTGTTCCACCACCTTTGTTTTCTTATTTACTTTGGGGTGCTTTGGGAACATGCAGATGTATTTGCAATGTTTACATTATTTTCCAGTTTTTTGGCACTTTTCATTGTGTGGTGAGTCATTTGAAGCATTATTTCTGTGTTTCTGGAGATCTCAGTGTAAATAACTTTGGCAAACCCTCTAATTTTTCCCCTCTCAAATCCTTGTATGGTCTCAAAAGGAGCTCCAAAAGACAAGGCCATTCCTTTGTACTATTGCAAAGGAAATAATAGTGGGAGAAGGGAGGTACGCAGTAGGGCAGTTCAAAAGCACCAAAAGTGGAGATCAAAGGCAAATAGGGTAAGAGCACCAAAAGTGGTGCTGCGGGGGGGGGGGGGGTCAATATCTTCCTTTTGATGATGTAATGCTCTTGCCACCTTGTAAGCAGAGTGCTGGACTGGAGAGACATCAGGTCTGATCCAGCATGGATGTTCTTAACTTCTTCATTATTACTGCTGTTACTGTGTATGTTCTGACTGACAACGGCTTACCGGGATCTGGGAAATACTATATTTACTAATACTGAGATTTTTGACTGGAGATTTCAGGGTTTAAATTGAAGACACACCAAACCTGAGTGCTTCACTAAGGCATGATCTGTCCTCTGCATGAAGTTTCTGTGGTCGTTTTTTTATGTACCTTGTGGGTTCCCTCTCAGCCAGTCTTTGTAAAGAAGAAGTGAGATCACAGTTCAGTGGAAAAGCACATGCTTCACATGTAGAATGCCCCATCTGACATACACGCATTAACACTTGCCTGTGCTTGAGAGGAGTCCTCAAAGCAAAACTTCTGCTAGGTCATAAATTCAACCTCACATTCCTTGGATTGTTCCTGCAAATTTGGAGGTTGCACCATTGTGCTATGTAGGAGGTGCATGTCGCTAGGTCCTGAAAGAACAATGGCCCTACCATTGTCCCAGGGGGTTTCTGACCATGTGACCAGAGCACCAGTTTGTCACCATAGCATCGCAGATATCCTGCTGCTTTAAGCAAATCATGGGGCACTTAGGATCAGTCCAGGTAGCAAGAAGAAAACAGAACTGTGCTTTAAGTCATTCAGGATCCAGGCTGAGCATTAGGCACAATACCTGTAAGGTAGTTCAGCAGTCATGTGGAGCAAGCTGGTATTATTTTCAAACAACTGGGTGATTTGGGAGCCTGATACTTTTGAACTTTGAATATGTTGATTCTCTGTCCAAAGGAAAGTTCCCTTAATTTCAAATGTGGCTTAGCTTCCATGTATTCATACAAATGATTGACAGCTTAATCCAGATACTTCTAAATGGTGCAGCTGTTTTAAAAATTCTGAGAAAGAAGAAATTATTGTAGAATTCTTGGAGGCTTTTGTTTAATCCTTTTGGTCAAGTCTGGACATGTCCCAGTTTCATTATCTGGAATAACTGCAAGGGTTGAGAGTGGCGAGCTTCTTAGCATACCACTGTTTTAATCCTGAGATTAACTGTTGAGATATATAGCTGGGGCCGTGCTTTGTAAATTCTGGATTTTGGCATGCTTTGGTGCATCATACAATAAGGGTTCGTTGATTTTCATTGTGCACATGTTCACACGTGTATGTGTTCCAGCAGGCATTTCCTTTAAGAGGTAGACTTATTTTGTCCTTCATTTGTCACACTATCAAGAGAGATATTACTACCACTCTATACAACTCTGGTGCGCCCACAACTGGAGTATTGTGTCCAGTTTTGGGCCCTCGTTACAGGAAGGATATAGCCAGGTTAGAATTAGTACAATGTAGGGCCACAAGGTTGGTGGCCGGTTTGCAGGGAAAGCCATATGAGGCAAGACTGAGGGAACTGGGTTTTTTCAGCCTGGAGAAGAGAGTCCAAGGGGATCTGTTGGCGACATACAGGTGTGTGAGGGTGTCACACGAAGGTGGGTAGAGACCTGTTCTCCCCTGCAGAGGGGGGCAGGATGCACTCCAGTGGAGTGAAGCTCAGGGAACCAAGGTTCAACTTGGATGCCAGGAAGTACTTCTTGACAGCTAGGACCCCAAGGGTATGAAATGGCTTCCACGGGAGGTGGTTGAGGCCCCATCGGTGAGGGTGTCCAAGGATAGGCTAGACCTGCACATAGTAGGCATGTCGTGAGTGGAGGAAGCTGGAGCCGGGGGTCAGACTAGATGGCCCAGGAGGCCCCTTCTGACTTGCTTGTTTCTATGTTTCTATGCTACTTACTACATGCTACTTAACATTTAAAAGGAAAAATAACAAACTTCTCCAGTGTTGATGACTGATGTGACATTCTTGTTGTTGAAGGTAAAAAGGATAGGACTTCAAAGTGAACAAATGGATGAGAGTGTTTACAAGTGCAAAACATTTGAGAAAGCACTGAAAACAGGAAAACAGATTTTAGTAAGCAAGGCTGCCCTCTGCTGGATACATAATTTTTTAAAAAATCAATACAGCTAAGATGCAGCTGTGTAGTATGCTGCAATTCTTTGCATCACATTTCAGTTTTACTGGTCTTTTCTTCCATGAAGCTTTCTTCATAGATGACATACTAGTATGACCAGGTAGTCTAGAGCCAGCAGGTGGCAGCCTGAATTTTCTGTTAGAAGTTAGTTGTATATAGAGTACTCATGTGTGTTGTCTCAGAAGCTCACTCAGGCTTTCTTCCTAAATAAATTTGAAAACGGTTATAACTTTTTGTTCTTGTCTGTTAAGATCAGGCCTTCTCAATGATGCCATTGTATGGGATATGGTGATAAATGGAACATGTAAACATGCCATTATCTGTTCCTGTTGTAGGATAATCGGAGAATACAGAATGCCCCACATCTATGTGCAGGTAATACTAGTTTAAATCATAAGGATTTTAGGAAGTCTCACGGGCCACAATTCAGAGAAAAGTCTGCAAACAATTCTAATAAATACAATATGGGCTTGTAGCACAAAGTACCTTTTAGAATGCAGCAGTTGTATACAGACATAAATATGTAATAGTAAAAATTGCTAAATCCTAAAGAACTTAGGACAGCAAGAGCACTAACTCTCATCCCTACCTGGAGTACCCACACAGGGATAAGGAATCAAGACTGTGCAAAGCAAAAGGTATTACTTCGAATACGTGCAAAATCATTTTTGTTGAGGCCAAGCAAAGTTTCCTCCAAGATATGCTCCTTGCAGAATATCGGAGTTTTCATCAAATAGTTTGAGTGGTTCAGTGCTGTGGCAAGAGTTCATACAGCTTAGCAGTTTGTGTATATTTCAGAATCTGGATTTTGTGGGCAGTATCACCATAAGTTAATACCATGGTTTACTTTATTCTACCCTGTAATTTGAGTATGGTTTTAAATTTTTAATGCTTATTTTTGGCTTTGCCAGTAGCTAAAAGATGGATTAGGTTTGTATTGAGGTATTTTTTAAAAAGCTGTTAAAGGAGACATGGGACTTGCCAGCATATTACTTACAAGCTTAGAATTCTCCATCCTTTTTTTGGAACGGAGCATGGTTCCTGAAATGTGGCATATTAAATTTATTTCTTTGTGACTCCCGCACACCAAAGAGAACTGAAAGATACAGATGAGTAGCTCAGGTTCTTTTCTCAGCAGAGATATTTGGGTTGTGTGAAAGGATAAATTAGTGTGATAAATATTCATTGTTGTCTTTCCATAGTTTTACCCAGGTTAGGTTATGCAGATTTCTGTTTGAATATGCACTGGAATAAATGAGTGCTTTCCTCTTTGTCTTTGTGGTTTATTAATGTTCCAAGTTAGCTGGATATATCTGCACGTCACACTAAGCCACCTGGATGGGAGGCTTATTGCTTACTCCTGATGGGGGATCAGGGGATCACTAGTTTTGCAGCTTCCTATGCAGTTTTCATCTCTCAGCCCATCCCAGTAATTGAACCTGCTTCTAGCACTTCTCACAGGGAGCTTTGTGGAAGAAATCTCTACTTGTTTATTCCCTACATCAGCACCCTTTCTAGTTTGCTAGTATTGCTGACTGATGAGGGAGACTCCCCCCACCTGCATCAGATCAAAAAAGGAAATGGGAACATGGTCACAAGTTGTTGTTGTTTTAAGAAAGGCAGATTTACACAAGAGTGAAACACCTGTTGTCCTCTATTTGACCAAGCATAATCCTTTCTTGCCAGTGTGTCTCATTTCAGCACTTTCCATAGTAAAGTAAGAACATCTATGGGGCAGTGTTCACTATTTTTCCTGCTATTCAATTTGAACCATTTACTACCACCCTGCCATGGATTTTTTGTATTTCTTCTGATTTTGCTCACTGTTTTCCACTCAGCATATACATCTAACAGATGGTGGTGGCCAGCGAAGCAGGAAGGACCAGCAGGAAGGTGACAGAATTGAAAGCAGCTTTGGGAGCAGTTATGCTTACCTCACCCTAATATTAAGCAGCCTTTAATAATAAATGGTGTTGTGTCTGTTCTGCATTTGGTCTGCTGTGGTTGCTGGCTGAAAAAGGAAACTCACACCCCCTCCCAGCAGATTGCAGAAAGCCCCCCCCCC